GATTTTTAAGTTTTTGACTCCTTTAATTGCTAGGATTATTTATTTCATTTTTTGTTTGCGCCAAATTGTTTGTTGTTTTAATCAGCTGCGTCTGTACAATTTTTTTTACTAGATGTTGTTCGTTTACTTTTTGCAATTTTCTCTCTTGAGAACGAAACGTCGTATTTACTCTCTGCAAATTCTTACTGAGTAAATGTTACTGGGAAAGTGAACGAACGGACCTAATGTAGGTTTGGTAAATATATTACAGGGCAACTCTTTAGTAAAAACGAGCCGATTTTTTCCAGAGGTAGGTATTTTTAACATTATTATGAGGATATATTTTTTCATGGGGTTACCCGGTTATTTGACCCGGAAGTTCAGGTACGCACACCCGATTCTACGTATCCGATTAATATAAAATGTGTGTAATGTTAAAGATTATGAAATATAACTTTCCATTGAGTGGTGATATGAAGGGGTTATCTCAGACCGTTTGGGAGATACAGTCACAAATTATAGACTACAATTTGCCCTTTCCAAAATGGTGCAATGTGTGGCTGTATCTGTTGGGGATCAAAATATATGGGCCTTACAACCCTACAAAAATAAAAATACCTACCTCTGGAAAAATTGTCAAAAAAACTGATAATTTTCACTAAACTAGAGTTAAGCCGCTGAGACTGTGCCGAAGGTACCAAAAGTGATGGGTCAATCGTTCATCTTCGGACTGGATTTAGATTTGGTTAAAATCTTATGATGTGTATTAGGTTGGACACAGTTTGGATCATACAATATATATAAGTATATATACAGCAGAGCACGGATATAAGAACATCATAAATAAGAAAATCCCGTACTTACATTTTTCACCCATATAGGAAAATAGTTTGTTATATAAAATACGTTCATATAAGAAAACCCCGCATATAAGAACAAATTTCTAGATGTTTCGAATGTTCTCATATTCATATTATAAAATGAAATCGAACGAAACAAATATATGAGATCAATTTTAAAATCTGCATCGATACCCATCAATTTTAATAGGTTATGTCCTTGCAAATTTCCTTGACCTATGCCAAATTTCATCTCATCTCTTATAATAAAAAAAATTGATTTTGCAGAAAATACGAGGAACATAGGAACTTCTACAGCTACTCAATCAGAGTGTGTAAGAGATATTTGTTTTATTCATTTATTATTATTATTGTTTTTTTAAGTCTGATATTGCAAATCATTATCGTTCTATCATTCGTCTGATCTACCATGCATTAAAACTCCGACTTAATTACACCAAGATTTCCTTGTATTGGATTTTGTTGAAATCAGTTCAGATATAGCTCTTATATAGTCCATATTTACATATAGATCTGATACATAATTTGGTCAGATCTTTTAGAAATGGTTGATGCAACTGTTTAAATTGATTGAAGACGTATCACTCGTAGACATTTGTCCATTTTGCTTATCCTGGTTATCAGAAAAAAGAGGAAATAGGAAAAAGCGCAAAAGAGATAGAAGAAGTTATAATTTTGGTTAATTTCGCCATGTCACGATGTTAACACGGCTAAATATCTTTTTGCCATCTGATCTTTTGGAAATGGTTCATGTAACTGTTTAAATTGATTAAAATCGTATCACTCGTAGACATTTGTCTATTTTGCTTATCCTGGTTATCTGAAAAAGAGGAAATAGAAAAAAGGGTAGAAGGGATAGAAGAAGTGATCATTTTTTTGTTAATTTCGCCATGTCACGATTTTAACACAGCTAAATATCTTTTTGGCGTCTGTTCCGAAGAAGATGGCTAGGGTATCAATTTCGTTCATTCGAAACAGTCGATGTCTTCTGCATCTGGCTTCAGCCGCTTTCGTGATTGCCTGGATTTTTGCCTGAAAAATGCTACAGGCATCGTTAGGTTTATATGAATTAGATATGGCCAATTCCTTGCATTAAACTTCTGCACCAGTGTCTTCCTCCATCCTCGACCCGTCTATATACATACAGAGAGCAGCAAAAGTCATGGTACCCCATACAAATAAAAAATATTCAGTAATTACTCAAAAAATAATTTACAAATTTTAAAACATTTATTTTTATTTTATGTATTCACTCGTATACTACAACAATGGATAGTAATATTTCATTTATTTGTTCCAACAAACCATAAAAAAAATGTAGATCGTGTCAACTCAAAATTTTTGCACAGCATGGCACCCCTGGTCAGAGCTGATATTACACGTCATTTATGGGATAAAATCGTTTAGTAAAATAGGTGGCAACTATTTAGAGTTTTGTCAAATTCTCTTTTAAAACAATAACGATACTTTCCATATTTCCAAAAGCATTTGCTTAGTGCAAAAAGTGAAAGGAACTATTTTTTTTAAATGCCTAGAAAAGAACTAACTATTAAAGAGCGAAAAATAATAATAACCATGAAATGGGAAAATCCTAATCCGGAATAGATAAAATGATAAATAGAACCAAATCAGCAGTCCAAAACTGGTTAATCGATACAAAAAAGAAAATATAATTGAAAATAAACCGCTATCAGGCCGTCCCAGGAAGCTCAACATCAGAGAAGAAAATTGAATATATTATTAAAAAAAGATCCATTTACAAGCGCTCCTAAAATCGCTGTAGAATAATTTGGGAAAGGAGTTTCAGCAGACACGGTACGTAGGTGCATCAATAAGTATGGATGCAATGCTCGCACTGCCCGCAAAAAAACACTTGTTAACAAAACAAAAAGAAAGAAGCGTGTCGATTTTGCAAATCGAATCGTATACAATACACCACACATGCTGATAACACGGAGAGGGTGGAGTAATGGTATGGGGATGCATGTCAGCAACTGGTGTTGGCAATTTCGTATTCTTTGAGGAAATAATGAATAAAACAGTTTACATGAATATTTTGAAACAAAATTTGAATCAAAATGCTGAAAAACTCAACATTCGTGATAATTATTACTTCCAACAGGACAATGATCCAAAACACACTGCTATTGACGTTAAGAATTGGATCGTATACAATACACCACACATGCTGATAACACCTCCACAAAGTCCCGATTTAAATCCGATTGAGCACCTATGGGATCATCTAGATGAACGAATCCGAAATTATACAATTTCCAGTAAGGCCCAACTCAAAGAAATACTTCTGACAGAATGGGGTAAAATATCGTCGGACTACACTAAAAACTTGTATACTCAATGCCCGAACGATTGAATGAAGTTTTAAAACTCAAGGGATATCCTACCAAATATTTGATAAGTCAATTTGATTGTAAAAATTAAGTAATATTAAATAATTCATTATTTTTCTCCAGGGGTACCAAGACTTATACTGTGCAAAAATGCGGACATGGCACTATCTCTGTCATCAAAGTCATTATGGAAGGGAACATAGTCACTGATGTGAGTACTTCTATCTAAAACCGTTTCCGGGAGCCTCAGGGCTGCAGTATGAAATTTAAACGAAATATCCAGTGGTTGGAGATTCATGATTGCATTCATCGATGTTTGTGCTGTATTTCTTTGTGCTACGGTAATCAAGATGAACGCTGATCGCTGTATGCTACTCCAAAGTGATGTAGGCCCGACTTTTATGCTAGTTTTTATTTAAATATTTCCTAAAGGTTAAGAATCATTCTGGGAATGATACTATTTGCCATTGCAAATTATGCATAGACTTATTATTTTTTCTACCCCTTATGGTGTATGTAGAAGGAATACAAATATCGACCCTGACGAACTTTCCACCATTTTTGATTGTGCTTCTTTTTATTATAATTGATATCCCGACAAGCATATAAACGTTTGAAAAATGCACCATACTGTTTTTCAGAATAAATTTAATAATTATTATTTAATTTAATATATTGTTAGATTTTTAATAATCTACTTATTTCAAATCACTTCTTCCATCCCCGTTCACTTTTATCCCAAAATAAAAAAAAATAAAATCGATTTTTTCGCAACAACAAAAAACTCGAAGATAATTGCCAAACAAAAAGGACTCCATTACCAATAGTTGACAAACATCAGCACAGCTGCTGCAGGTTATGATGAAAGATGATTAAAATGTAAAATATCCTTTAGGATAATCCTCCTTATAGAGCATGCAGGTCATTTTGCTGCTAATCTCGGGCATATCGTACAAATCACAAAGAGAAGATAAACATACGACAGTCGGACACACACATGCACCCACAACCACATTACATATTTGCACACGCATGCATGCTTCGCCGACGTGCAGCCAAGTATGTTATGTGAACTGCCTTTTCGTGGCATGCAGGACGGACGGACGGACGGATCCAATGCAAAGCCAGAGAACAGATACCGACCGGTGTAATAAAGGGACAGCAAACATGGAGAAAATCACACAACAGCAAAAAAAACGGAAAGATGAAACAAAGAGGAAGAAATTAAAACGTACACACGCACACACACACGCGCTCGGCACAACATTCCATGCAAATACACACATCGGATTTCCATTCAGCACTGCAAACTGGTTTGGAAAAGGGAAACAGCGACAACACGATTCAGCCATGGCGGCTGTGCCATTTCAGCTGGGAACTGCGAACTGCTCGCTGCAAAAACCAGTTAAGAAAGAAAATCATCAACGGGCGTGTTGTGTGTTTCAGGCGACGACAACGACGACGCCGTATCACTCGGCGATTGCATTCAAACGGTTTCAGACCAGACGGAAGAATAAAAATTTTTGTGTAAACCGAGTGAGTGAGCGACCGACCGACCGTACGACAGATCGACACACAGACAGTGCCAAAGTCAAAGCCAGCTAGCCAGCCATTGGTGTCAGAGTGTGTTGAACAATCAAAAGCCAGACTGGAGCTGAGTCTAGTGAATTTTTTGTCGCCATTTGTCTAAAACAGGAAGAAAGCTTCAGATACCCAAAGTTTGTCGGAAAATCGCATTTTCAATCTTGTGAAATAAAAATCTATATCGGTGAAATTTTTTGAAAAATCAGTTTGAGAAGAAAATCGCAAAATGTCGCTGATTCCATTCATATTAGATTTGGCCGATGAGTTGCACGAATTCAGTCGTTGCCTGGCCAATGGAATCGATATTAACGATTTCGGATTTGGTCTCTATACTGGTTCCGAGCAACAAACTCACTCGCAACCCCCATCAGCTTCAACATCACCGCAGCAGCAGCAACAACAAAGTCCCAGACGCAGCCGGACCTCGTCTTTCTCCTCGTTTTGGCTGCCCTCGAAACGCCATCATCCATACAATCGGATCAAAAGTGCCTGCTGTGGCAAAAACGCTGGGGAGGAGGGCGGTGCCACCAATTCCAATGTCGCCACTGCCAGTCCCGAAAAAGATGCTACCATAGTGCCAACACCGAACAAGACAGCTTCCTACTCGGTGGTCAATAAGAATGGCTTCCAGGTCAGCATGAATGTGAAACAATTTGCTCCGAACGAGTTGTCGGTGAAGACAATCGATAATTGCATTGTGGTCGAGGGTCGCCACGACGACAAGGAGGATGGCCACGGTGTCATCTCGAGGCATTTTGTACGCAAGTACATGCTGCCCAAGGGATACGATCCCAAGGATGTGATGTCGACTCTATCTTCGGATGGCATTTTAACTGTAAAGGCTCCGCCACCTCCTCCGCCTAGTGCAAAGGTTGACGAGCCGAACGAACGAATTGTGGCAATTCAGCCGACACCTGGACCAACCCAAATGGTGCCAACACCAATGTCTGCCGCTGCGGCCCAGCCAAAAGAGCAGACGAAAAAACTATTATCTCCAGCGGCTCGTGAAGAGTGTCAATTGCCAGAAAAGAGACAAAAACTAGATGTGGCCCAACAGCAGCAGCAGGAGGAGGATGAGAAACAAGCCACATTGAAACAGCAGCAAGCTCCAACACAAACAATACCGGCAACAATCACAACAACAACACAATCCACATCAACTCCACCACAGTCACCAACACCAGAGCAACCAGATGCCGGGGCTGGTGCACTTAACGACAATGAAAACGATGGAGAGCAAACAGCTGAAATTGATGATAAGCAACAACAGCAACAACAAAAAGGTGGTGAGGATGTTGACGAAGGGGGACAACAACAACAGCAGCAACAACCACCAACAGCAGCAGAAGACATTACTGATATAGAGACTAACAATGCTGTGGCTGCCATTACTGCTGAAGAAGATAAGACTGAAAATCAGCTGGAAACTAAAGAGTCTGCCATGGAAATCGATGAGACTGAAGAAGAAAACAACAAAACTGCAAAAGCACAACAGCAACAACAACAGGAAAAACAAAAAACCGAAGAAGAGCAAAAAGATGTGGTGGAGGAAAAGTTGCCCGAAACCAATGGCAGTGACAACATCATCGGAGAAATTGCCGAAGCAACTGAACCGGCTGCCGAATCCTGCAATACCACCACCACGACCAACAGTTCTGCCGAAAAAATTAACGACGAAGTTCCTGCTGAGGCTGTGAGTGAAGCCGATGGAAAATCCACGGCCATGGAAGTGGATGGAGACGATGATGTGGCAGACCAGACCAAAACTACAGCTGATGAAGATGCGACGGTTACCGGTGCCAGTGAAGACAAGCTGAAGGAGGTCGTAACCGACGAAGAAAAGAATGTTGATGGCAAATGCCCAGAAACAGCTGAAAATTCCAATTCCACACCAACAAACAGTGACAAAGAAGAACAAGACAATAAAACAAATTCCAAGTCAACCGGCGAAAATCCAGCTGACGCCTCGGAGTCGCCAGTTGCCGCTGAATCTGCCAATGACAAAGTCACGGATACAGAAACAGCTGTAGACACTACCACCACCACCACTGCCAACACTACCATTGCCACAGACATTGATGTTGCCCTACTCAAAAAAGCTGCCGCAACAGCTGACGCTGCCGAAATCACAGCTGCTGCAGAAAATGCTTTGCTCTCCGAACCCATGGATGGCATTGCAACCACTGACTCGGCCGTGGATACCGTAGAGTGTTCTCTCTTTGCCAAAACATTGGGAAATGGCAACAGTAATTCAGCAGCAACTGCCCTAGTGGCCAAGGAAGAGGTGGCCAACTAGGTGGCTATCCAATGGCCGCTCTCTCACTCTCTACCCCAGCCACTTTGTTTAGGTAAAGTGCATGAATAGATTGGAAAGCTAAACAACAACGCAGACAGACTATTGTAATGCAGATTTTATTGCGGTATTTGTTTTCCCCTCACTCTCTCACTGATATCGGTCCCCAAAACATACGACACACACACACAAACAACACTCAACGAATCGTGCGAAGGAGATGAAGAAGTGCGCATTAACTCAACAGATACAATGAATCGGGCACACAAGACACTCACTCACACATGTACACGCAATTCATCCAGACATGCTACAGATACTATTCACAAACATAAAAGAGGAGTACTTAATTTTGCCAACAACAGCAACAACAACAAAAATTATCGTCACACAACCGCAGCCAACAACAAAAACGAAAAAATGAAATAACAAAGAATCAAACCAAGTGTATCACAACAACAACAACAATAGCGTAGTGGCGCCAACGACAATGTCGGCTTCAGTCTACAGCAGCAGCAGCAACAACAACATCAAATACTTTAGGACATAGCGACAGAAAAACACAGCAGAATGAAACCCGGGGCCGTGGCAGAACCGGAAGCAGAGACATAAGCAGCAGCTTTTTGACTCAGGCGCAATACTCTACAGCCAGCCCGTATTCCTAATTTTCCTATACTCTTATTAATATAATATATATAAATATTTTTTTTTAATTTTTGATTACAAATTATTATTCCTATATAGAATATCTATAGAAAAAAACAATTATGAAATATAATTATTAAGTTATTTTTTTATGTATTATTATCGAATACAGGAGGTTATGTTTTAAGTGAAACGACAGCGGCCACCATTTCATTGTCCCTCAATCAACACCACCAACACCGACCGACCAACGGACAGATAGATTGATGAAAGCATGACGGTGATTTGGATGAATGATCCGCTGCCAAACCATTGGGAACTTGGAGAACATTTTCAAATGTTAAATTAAGCAGAGATTCCAGCTTTTATTTGAACTATAAAAAAGTATTAATTTTAAGTATTTACATAACAAAAAAGAAAACAAAACGAAGAAGAACAAGAAATATAAAAATCGAATATTATTAATGAAAAATTAAAAAAAAAATGAAAATGAAAACAAAACTGAAATAAATTGCGATCAAATCAATGAATCGAGAGAAAATAAAGAAATTAAAAAATAAAAAAAAACGAAAACAAAAGATTATATAATGATGATGAATAAAAGGAAAATAAACAACAGCAACAACAACAATAACCTAATGCTATTCTCTATAGAAGAAAGCCATACCGAACGAACATTCTAAAAAAATTAAATGATGATATTCATTATTATCAACGTCGAATCGATGATATAGTTGGTAATAATGGTCAAGGTATTAATTACAACAACAAAAATGAATGAATGAATAATAAATTAATAAAACAAAACCTTTAACTACATAAATTATTGTATGTGAGAATATAAATAAATTTCAAATGTTGTGTTTTATTTATTATTTTGGATCGTTTAGTTTTATCCTCAAATGGGAGGAAAAAATTAAAGCTTTCGCAGATAGAGAAACTTCAGCAGTATTACTATTAGGCCTTTTGGAATGTGTCTGTTATCTATTCATTGAGAGCATTTAGTGCAAAAACATTGTTAGTAAATTTTACCAGACCTGGGGTCAAATTCTGATAGTCGATATCGAGTTGTTTCGATCTCTGTTATTCAATTTGGTATGCCCGCATTTCAGATTGGTAAGGCGGTATTTATATAATTAAATTTCTGCATAGATGTATGTTAGCCATAATCCCTAGACGCTAATAAATTCTAATAATACCCACTATTCAAATTTCAAAAATCGGACGGGTCCTTTATATGTGTATTGTTTTCTTAAAAATCATTTTGGAATCTAATTAAAGAATTATTAAACCGTGAACAGGATTTTGGGTGTCGAGAAATCCCATTGGGATAGGAAAAGGTTAATCACGCCATAACTCAAAAACTTGACCTTTTTTCAAATTGTCCTTCTGGGTTCATAATAAACTTTCATCCATCCAAGACCATATTGAATAACCATTTCCTCCTCTAGGGTGTTGATATATACCCTCCACAGTAGGTATACTGACAGTCATTTTAAATGAAATTTACATAAAAATTGAAGTGGTCTCTATATAGGGGATATTAAATTCTAAACTACGATGAGAAACAAAACGAAAATACCTCAAAAAATCGAAATTTTTTGGGGGTGCTGAGAACCCAAAATACCAAATTATAGCTAATTCGTTTGAAAAAAGTGACTAAAATCCGACAAATACCGCAAACTTGGGCCGATGTTGAACTTATCCTGCCTGCATCTTTTTACCTTCCTACAGACAAAAAATACATTTATGAAAAATTTCATCCTATTTCAACTCCTTCCAAAGATAACGTGATTATAACTGGCGGAGTAATAGTTTTGGACTTATTGATCTGTTGTTGCAAAAATTTCAAGATATTGACCTCCAAAGTTTTTTTTTCGTAGAAGCTGTATCTACTTTAATGTAAAAAATGTGTAAAACAGGGAGAGACAACCTAGATTTTTCATATTTTTTTCTCGATTTTGCGTTTACGTCTGGTTCTAAACCAAATAAGACTCCTATTGTTTTTGGTCGGCTAATATGTAGGAGCCCAATGGGACCAAAAACCTTATTTTTATGTGGCCACTCTAGAAGCCACATTTATGTCATGAATATCACAAAAGTTCACATAGGGAAGAATAAGCATGATTCGGAATATATTCCAGGGTATGAAAGTGAAGATTTTGACCTCTAATCGGCCAAAGGGCGCAAATATCGCGAAATATTGCCCGGGCTTGGAATATAGATCCGCAGAAAGTAAAGTCGCCCCTTCCGATATACTGCTCTGCTCACTGGTTTTTATCAATTTTATTGGAAACGGATAAATAAATTAAAATTAAGAAAAAACGTTGAAGTTAATAATGAAACTCTTTCTTTCATACAATTCAAGTACGAGTATTATATATAGTACTAGCATAGGCCCGCTACGTCGCGACGCGTCGTTAGAGGATTTTTATAGTTAAAACAAATAAACATTAATTTAGCTATGGTATGGTAGGTACTATATTTTCAATTTTTTAAGAAAATCTATGATCTTACTCCGCATTTCTTTCGAATAGAAACGTTGATGCTTCTATCCTATTAAATCGAGTACAACTTCTTATATTTATATTTTCTGATCTAATCATTCGCTGTAGTATAGACCATGGGGGATTGGAAACTATATTTCATGGAAATGTCAGTAATTTTTAGTAAAAAATTTCGAAAATTATTTCCGTAACATTTTATTTGCCATAGTCAAAGATAAATATTAAAATTCGGATATCTGCCCCTAACCTTTCCTTTTTAGTACTTTTTAGCACAAACATTAAAAAAAAAACATTTTTAAAATTTGTTATACAGTAGATATCGACTATAAGCACATCTAATATAAGAAAAACGCATATAAGAAAGAATTTTTCGGATTTTTTGAGTTTCTTATATGTACTGTAGCTAAATACAGTTATAGCTAAGTATAGTTTAGAACTTATTTCTGGAAAATATTTATGTATAAATGTTTATTGTCATAGTTCCAGATAACTATTTAATAACAGGTTCCTATTTTTATTTTATATAGGTTATACTGAAATATAGTATTTATAACTTTTTAGTACATATTAGTACTAATTTCCAGAAAATATGTTTGCCCATCATTCTATTTTTAATAGCTTTAGTTACATACCAAATTGCAGATATCTATCTTTACTTGTAGTATAATATTTTTATCCGTTCTCCCGTACACAATATTTAGTACTTGTTAGTACCGTGAGTAAATTTACTAACTTTTGGAGTATTCCATTTCAGAAATATAAATTTTTTTCCACACTCTGCAATATATTGTGTTTTTGGTGCCATTTAGTACGAATTTCCAATAAAGCAATCTTCCTATTTGTTCTAAGAGTTGGAGAATTTTACAAGACCGTACTTATACTGACAAGATTTCAAAACGTTTGCTTTCGATAGAACCACCTTTTAATTGCTTATCGGAAACACTGTAAAAAGTTCGCCCATTTATTCAGGATCACCTAATACAATAATTTGGACACATACAGTGGTGCGTATACTTAACATGACAACTGAGAATCACTCATTCGGAATGTATGTAATTATTTTCGGTACATTCGATTACATCTAAACAAATGTCTTTTATCGCATTGCACCTTTCTTCGCGTCTAAATGGTCCAATGTGAAAATCAAAACACATGAATCACTTCCATTGGCCATGGTTCTTCTGGTGGTCTTGCGTCACAGCGAACACTGAAAGAAAATTTTGTTGCAACTAACACTCGTGCATCGGTTTTTGTCAACGAACTCGGAGATGGATGACTAATGGACGGCAAAGTAATGCCAATTCATAATTCACATAGTATTGCGGACATCCGATGAACATCATAATGAACTAACCTAACCAACCATCCGACCATCCCATCGAATTGCAAGCACGGGGGAGGTCTGTCCGAATTTATTCTTGAGGAACTTGTCCACAGAAAAAATATTCGAAAATGTTTACCTTTTTGCAAGTATCTCGACCGAATGCATTTCATTCAGTTGCCAAACCTTTAAGTCAACACACACGCGAATCCAATCGAACAGCTGCCGCGGTTGTGGCTGCTGTTGCTGCTGCTTCTTCTGTTTGTTGTGAATAAAAACAAAAATTATTGGTCGACCGACAATGTCACTGGTGCCAACGACATATCACGATCTTGCGCGTGAACTCGATCGTCCGCCGCTCTATTATCCGCCATATGATTTTCATTTGTATCCCTACCTTTGGGATGATCCGCGTCTGTGGTGGCCCTCTACGAATTCATTGCTGAGACCGATGGACGAGCTGGTTACACGTCGTGTACGCAATCAATCGATTCAATCGCAACTGCTGGACTGGGCCTATCCCGTGCGCTGGGACAACTACTACAACGGTGAACGAGTCCATATCGATGACAAGGGTTTCCGGGTCGAAATAGATGTGCGCCAATTCAAACCCCATGAAATTGTGGTCAAAACCACCGACGACTATGTCATTGTGGAGGGTAAACATTCGCGACGCAACGACGGCAATGGCCTTGTGGAGCGCCATTTCCTTCGCAAGTATCTGTTGCCTCGCGGATTCAATGCCAACGAGGTGATTTCGGACTTGTCCTCCGATGGTATATTGAGCATCAAGGCACCGCCTCCACCACCAGTGAAATACTACAAGCCAGGTGAACGTTTGGTCAAGGTCCATGAAACGGGCAAACTGGCTCTGCCATGGAAATAGACCCCCATTTTGCAAGCAGTCTTCCTGTGTTTCCCGTCCCTCCCATCAGGCACAGTGTTGTTGTGGCGAAAATTAGTGAATAAAAGTGTGAAAGTGAAAAGGGGCGAGAGTGACAGTGGTGCAGATGATGATGATTAGCCAAAATAGAAAAAATAGAATGGTTGTTGCTGTGGTTGTTGTTTGTGTAATGTGCCTCATAATATATATATATGTATATATATGTATGCAGATAGATGTAGATGTGCAGTTGTTTTATTCAATTGTAGCGGAAATTAAACAAATTCAAGGTCGCCATGCAGTCTATAATTAGTTTTCAAATACAAATGCAAAATTATGCCCATAAATGATTGAAATTAATGTATGTATGTATTGGATGTTCTATAAATATAATTTTGAATGAATAATAAATAAATAAAAATAATAATTTGAGTCCAAAATTCTATTTCAATGGATAGTTTATTATCGGATAGTGCAAACAAAATAATCAGAACGATGCTCAGATATTTGATGTTTGTTGATCGCAACGAACAAAGCCAAGGCGAAGGAAAGCGTATACGATAAAATGTAATATTGTCGGCAATACTACTAACATGTTCAAAACACTTGGAGATACACTGGTGGCCAAAACTTAAACAACTAACATAGCAAACTGAATAAATGTACTGCAACTTGTTTAAGGGAACCCCACCCATTCTCGATTTTAATTTTTCAAGATTTTCAATGGGCTGGTAAATCAATACCAATGCTTGTTAAGGTTTGTAACTTTGCACATATATATTTGAAGATTTAAAAGAGAAGAAAAATAATTTACAAAAAATGTTTGTTATTGCTTTGTTGTTATTTTTTGTAATTAAAGAAAAGTCCTTATTTTTGATGGCGGGCATGATAACTCCTCACTGGAACATCGGAATCCGACGATAGCTATACACTCACAGAATCAATTTGGAATCAATTGGGTTATTAGTTTCTGAGTTATCGTGCCCGCCATTCGCAAAAGAGAAAAACGCGTTTAAAGTTTGAGAATCCCTTTAGTCGTCACTTGATGCTGACACAATAAATCGGCTATATCTCTAGTTCTTGAGATTTCCACTTGAAATTTTGTAGAGACATTCTTGAATTAGCGTAGAATCGAATTAAATCAAAAAAATAACCTTAAAAATAAAGTTATAGTGAAAGTTTTTTTTTTCAGAAATAAATAGGTAATTTATTCACTTCTAAAAAAAACAAAGCATGTAAAACAAAATTTATTTTGAAATTATTTATCTATGGAAAACTAAGTTGACCCAATTTTTGCTAGGTCAAAACTATAACTACTTTTGTGATTTTTTCTTTTAAATATGTAAACTATAACATAACTATTTTTGATTACGACAACACACCTACGAGGCATTGAATCGATAAAATGCTCAATTTGATCCTTGGGTCCTCGCTTTCTGAAACTTTGGGAAGAGGTTATGTGTGTTTGTTTGTGAATCTCTTTTGATGTTGCTATCTATGATACTACAAAGACTTTTCTGTAGGCTGAAGATCTGATTATTGTGATGGCCATTATAAAATCCTGAATTTGACTTCTTCAACCAATATTCGACTTGTTTCGATGTATTTTTGAGGTTATTGTCATGCTGAAATACCCAAACAAGCTGTATTTCTTAAGCGGAGAGAACCAACGCGATTTCCAATATATGTGTATATAATCAATCTGAGCCATTACTTCATAAATCTCGTAAATAGATCGAATTCCATAAAAAGAAAAATAGCCCAATACCATGCTTTCCAGTACCCTTGCTATACTAAGGTTTGAGCCATTCATTTTTGGACCTTCTCACGGTAAAATAATTCGTGTCTGTGCCTTTAATCTTAAACTTTATTTTCTGAGGACATAATATTTATTCACTGTTCCAGATTCCAATGAATATCAGTTTTTGCAAAGGAGAATCTGGCTTTCCGAATTTTTTAGAAATAAAAGGGCTTTCTTGATGGTATACGGGCATGTAGACCTGCTAACATGGCAAAGCCTAGGCTTATCTTGATCCCTCTTGCATCTCAATTGTGGACACTAACCTTGGAGTCGGATTAGTTGCCTACACTCGGAAAACCCCTCCTACTATGAAAAAGCAAAGAAAAAGGAAACCAAAAATAGGGATGAAGAAGGAAACCTGGTGACAGATGCAGACATCGTGTTGAGGATCTGGACAAGACAAGATATATGCCATCTATAGAGGAATGAGTCTTCTTCCCATCGCATATAAAGTGCTATCCAGCGTGCTGTGTGTTAACGATCTGGCTTTGAAGCCAATGCTTTCTTGATTCGGGCACAGCCCTATCCGCAAAGAGGTGTTTATGGCTTTATCTCAATTGTGGACACTAACCTTGGAGTCGGACAGTTTACCTGCAAAATTAATAAAACTATGCAGGAACAAAAATAGGGATGAAGAAGGAAAGGTGACAGTACACCAAACAACACATGTTACCCGCCTATGCCGATGACATCGATATAATGGGTTGAACATTGCGAGCGGTAACAGACACCTTTGAACAAATTCCGTTAAGAGGTGTTTATGGCTTTATGCGTTCGACATCCCTGCAAAATTAATAAGACTATGCAGGAACGAGGATTCAGACAAGGTGACAGTACACCAAACAACACATGTTACCCGCCTATGCCGATGACATCGATATAATGGGTTGAACATTGCGAGCGGTAACAGACACCTTTGAACAAATTAAGAAGGAGACTGCCAAAGTGGGTCTGGCAGTAAACGTCGGAAAGACCAAGTTGATGGTATCAACGCGCAAGACGTCCAGTAGACTCGGACCAACTGTAGAACTTGAAAACTACAGCTTCGAGGTAGTTAAAGATTTTATATACCTTGGTACCGCCATAAATAAAACGAATGACATCAGTTTTGAAATTCGGAGAAGGATAGTGTTGGCCAACAGATGCTATTATAGCCTAAATAAGCAGTATAGAAACAAGGCCACCTCCAGAGAAAATGTTCTCCGAACTATCTATATGCCGATCTGCATTGACGGTGAATATCGCCGTCGAATGAACAATGAGTTGCACCATATATTTTCCGACATTGGTATTGTCAGACGTATCGATCTGCAGCGACTACGTTGGCTAGGTCATGTTGTGAGAATGGATGAGGATGCCCCAGCACAAAAGGCATATAAAAACGAGCCAACTGATGACTCACGCAGAATGGGAAGGCCGCGAATTAGATGGAAAGATCAAGTGGAAGAGAACATTTCGAAACATGGTCTTTCAAATTGGAAGAGCTGAATTTTCGTTCTCATACAATATCCTTTACTTCAAAAAGAATTCTGCGTTTATGCTTTTGTTTTTTGCAAGTGAATAATGTAATTCCAGTTGCTTTATAAGCTACATCTTGTTCTGAACCAATTTCTACGAATATTGACATTCTACACTGAGTTCAATACGCTATGCTAAATATCTTCTGATTCGGACTAACCTTGGAAATTTGGTGTATCATTTACCTAAAATCGGTCGAAAATATATATAGGAGCTATATCCAAATCTGAACCGATTTCAACACAACTTCACATTCGTCAATCTGTACACAATTTTGAATGCGGACAAATCTTGAGAGTTTGGTGCACCATTTACATAAAATTCACAAAAACTGTATCGACAAATTTTTCTACAAGGTTCTGAAAATACTGATCATTGTGTGTTAAAAACAGGACCCCCAAAAGGTGGATGTATATAAAACCAAAAATTTCAAAAATCAAACGTCTCTGATATTTAACACATAAATATTCGCCCTTTAATAGACATTTAGTACAATCTGGTGCATTTTATTAGAATGATATGTTGCGGACCGACGCTAAGAAAAGCTAATCAAATATTTTGGATACTCAGTACAGTCGATTTGATGTTAGCATTTTTTGTTTTTAATTGGTGATTTATCTCCTACGGGTAAGATACCTCCATATGAAAATTGTCCATATGGATCCAGGTTTTGGGAAAGCCAATTCATATGTGTATTTTCAGTACTGTTTTCGCTATTGGCTTTGTCGAAGTCTTTCCCATAATGTGAGCAATAAAAAGTTCTGTTCCGATCAATTTCGGCAAAAGTTAATTAGAACATTAAAAGCCGTTATGTAAGGTTTTTAATTATTTTATTTATTTGTAATAATAATTAGAAACAAATGTTTAATACTACTGCAACTATAACTAAATCAGTCCAATATTTTGCTTTGACTTCAATCCCAACTTATCAAATTATTTCTTATTTTCCGAACTTTTCGCATCTTGTCCAGATTTTATAGACTCCGTCTCAGCACGTTGTATTGGTATCTCACGAGCCTTTTCTTCAATTTGTGGCTTCGGTACACTAACGGTTAGGATACCATCCGAGGTGAGCGTTGATATAGCATTGTCCGATTCATAGCCTTTGGGCAATGTAAAGCGTCGTACAAAATGACGCGATATATAACCGCCATCATTGTCGTGATGTTGTTCCGATTTACCCTCAACAATGACATTATTATCCACTACCTTGACGGACAATTCTTCCGGTTTGAATTCCGAAACATTCATGGAGACTTGGTAACCACCATCCTTGCTGAACTTGGTCATGTCTTCCTCCAGCATACGATTCATGTGAGCAAACGGAGCCCAACGATAACTGGTTGTCCACGGATACTCGAAGAAGGGTGACGATGGCATAGCCAAACGTCTCAAGTCCTCAGCCATACGCCATAGAATCGGTAGAGTACGCATTTTCGGTAATTTCAATTGACTGCTTTACTTTCTTTTTAATTTTTTATTTATTCGTTAGCAATTAAAGTGGTTGTCTTCTGAAGTGGTTTTCTTATCGAAGTTTCGATTTATTGTTCGCTGTCTTTACAACTGATTACGGTAATTTACGAATCGTGCCTTTTTATACTCACCTCCTTTTAGCAATGTGCATGACCAAAGAGAACGACGTCACAGAGAGCACCACACATTGTGCATGTGTGGAGCTCGTCTTCTCTTTCGTTTAATTCTCGTTGCGCATTTGAATCTCTTATCTAGAACCGTTGACCGAGAAAGTTCTTGAATGTACTCAAAGCTTTTGGACGCCGATGAATTTAGTTGGATTGTATTTGTGGGAATGATGAAATGTGCAAATGTGCTGTGAGCGAAGAAATTGCGACAATATTATTGATTTTAGAAAAACAGCAGATTCACTGGGTCGTTGACCGAAGATTGAGGAAATGTTTCAATTTCATAATTGACATTGCACATTTTTCTTACTATTATGGAAATAAATAAGAATTATTAGGAAGTTACGATAGTTACACCGATTCGAACCAATTCGGAATGGCATGTGGTCGGAATAGGATAATGTAAAAAAATCTAAAAAATCCAAGAACATTTTAGAAATTTTTTATGAACATTATCTTTATAATATCATGCGAACAGAGCATCCAATTTAAGCCACAACCTATTATCTTTATCAAGCCTAGATAAAGTCCGAAGACGGCACCCATCCTCTCCACTCCTTGTAATACCTCCCCCACAGTGGGTCAACATTTTCAATATTTATGTATCCAATATTGGGCACATCGTAATATTTCTTTCAAACTCAAATGAAGTTCGAAGTTGGGAAAAATCAGTTCACTCCTTCTGGTACCTCACTCACCAAATTGGACGAAATTTTACTGTAAATTAATTTTGTAACATCGTGTGAACAGATCACCCATCCAAGTGTTGTATAACATAATACTTTAACTAAACATGTATAATATATCGGCCCAATCCATCAAGTAGCTCCCACCAAAGATTAACATTTTGAAAATTTGTAAACAATCTATGAAGGTAGCGAAATATTCACATTTCATCCAAACTTTGAGCATCGTAATATTTTTTACCTAGCCTAGATCGAACTCGAAGATGGTACCTTCCCCACAAAGGATCAACAGTTTAAAAACTTATTAACCCTTTCAGTGTTTTTGTCGAATATATTCGACATTTAAAACTACACCTCAGTCTGTTTTTACACTGTCTTTTTGTACACGGTTTTGATGGTTTGGTTTGAAAATTGAATATTTTTAATTTTTTTAGACGATTTTATTCCATTTAGCACGATTTGAAATTTTATGTACTTAAATTTTTTTTTGTCAAATTTAATTTTTGCCACGTATGTTCATATCACAAAAAAGTATTTATCCAAGGGTTAAAATGAAACTGATATTTTTTCTAAACTCTGTGCCTTAATATGATTTAAGGGTCGTACCTAAATGCATGCGTATGTGTACGAATTTATTCACCTCAAAAGTTAAATACATGTATTTCAATGGATGTTACCCAAATACGCATTGCGTATAAAAATATAAAGTTGAAAATTTCCAACATTGACCATGCGTATTTTGAAATTTTTGTTTTTTGAAAATAGAATTCCAGTCACTAAAAAAATTGTTTTTCTATAAATGTAAACATTTTCCGATCAATTAAAATTTTTTTCATCAATTTTTCCCGTTTTCAATTTGCACAGATGTAAATAAAGTCCTTGCGTATTTGGGTAATACGGACGTCTTACAAAGGCGAGAAGCTGAGTATTTTTGTACGGAGCGCAATAAAATAGATACGACCCTTAAATACAAAATTTTAGATTTTTATTCCGACACATTTTTTTACATTTTTTCAATAACAAGTAATCCATACGAATTGATACTAAATGTGCACATCGAAATATTTCTTTCAAATCAAGTTTGAAACGGGACCCATTGATCCACTCTTTCTGGTACTTCCCACGTAAAATGGTAAACATTTAATTATAACAATTTTATAATATCATACGAACAGACTATTCGATATGAACTAAACTTTGCATAACTTAAGCGATCGGAATATCCAAATTCATCGAAACTTTGCTCATCGTAATATCTTTACCTCGCATAGATCAAGTTCGAACATGAGACCCATCGGTCTACTTCTTCTGGTACCTACCTTATAAAGTGTCAAAATTGTTAATGGTATGTTCGATTTGATTGGAAATTTTCCAATTTTAATACTTTTACCAAACCTAGAATAAGTCCGAAGATGGATCTCATCGGTGTACTCTTCTGGTACCTCCCCACAAAGAGTTATCATTTTGAAAAACTTTTAAATTGAGTTTGAAGCGAATTGAATAAAAGATTTGATCCACTGTTAGGACGTCGTAATAGTTTAACAACGCGTTAGCAGAAAAATTCGAAGTTAGGTACATAGTTTCTATATTTGTACCATGGGTTATATTTAAACTATCGGCAATAATTAGTGAAATTCATAATCCTTTTAAAACCCATCTAAAATAATTATACAAATTTTAGAAATTCCAATAAGTTTCCTAATTTCATAGCTTATTTTTATTTTTGAGTAATATTGTCATAAGCCATTTTGTATAGGTTGTAACGGATCGCTTTATAATAAACGCGATCCTATTACATATTTTAAATTAATCATTATCTAATTTGCCCAAAAAAACATTTTGAAAGTTTTAATTACACCTACACACATAGCTAAAAATAAAGTAAACAAAATATGTTTTGAAAAAAAAAACAAAAATTTCTAATTCCCATCACATGACTAATCGCGTTCAAACATTTCCATTTGTTTATTTTTAAATCGACTGTCACCACTCTAATGTCATGGGTTGACGTTCTAACGACGTGTCTATGCCTTGAGGTAGGTCAGTAGCAAGATACGCCAAACAATATTTACTCTTGCTGTTGTTGTTGAATTTCACAAACCAACCAACAGATTAGCTCATTTACCCTCAGCGTATTTTCGAGAAATCAGCAGTACATTCGGGAATTATTCCCCTCGAAGAGAAAGAGAATTTAGTTGAATTCTCTTTGTAGTTTTCGCAAAGTCCAAATAAGAGAGATAAACAAACCCTACCAGATAACAGAGCATTCTCAGAAAATGTTTGGAACAAGTAGTGACGGCTGGCGGTGGTGTTAATGAACTATGAATGTAGTTTTTTGATGTTTGTGTGTGTGTGTTTTTTTTCATGACCTACCTCAATGCGAACATTTCAACGCTGGAGAATGTTTATAACACCTAGAAGATATTTAGCGGTAAAAATATTGAAAACTTTTCGGAGATTCGGAAAATGTGAACAATTAAATTCCCTTAGATCATTATGTGTAATAGTAGAAAACAACATTGCCAATCGATTTTTCTTGCCGGATTCTGACTATGAATGCTGTTATACGTCTATACCTGTGGAAATAATCAGTCTTTTTTCATGATTAGTGTTGCTGGTCAAGTAATTCTACAACGCTGTACAATAAAATCCGCTGGTTTTATTAGCTATGGAATATGTAAATCAAACATTTCGTATAACCAGCAGATGTTATAGAAGGCGGAACGGTATAGAGTAACATAGGGAAAGATGAATATCCTATAGGAAATTGAGGGATGTTACTTTTTACGATGCTTTAAGCTTCGATCAGTATATTCAGAGAGTAGGTCTTCATTTAAAATATTAATGCATGAAGATATATTTACAAAGTTGATCTCGAGAGATTTTTGGCCTGCTAGAGCATTCGTAAAAAAATTTCTAGAAAGGACAGAAAATTTTGATGTTAAACCAGAAACGGATACCAGAATAAGGGTTAAATACAAAGTTAAAACGTTTATATACTGATAGCCATGGTTTTGATTATATAATTATAATAGAATGTCTCTACAATAATTTCTACACTGATTAAAGAATGTCTCTACAAAATTTCAAGTGAAGATCTCAAGAACTCTTGAAGATATAGCCGATTTATTGTGTCAGCATGAAGTGACGGCTGAAGGGTTTCTCAAACTTTAAACGCGTTTTTCTCTAAACATTTTTTTGCGAATGGCGGGAACGATAACTCAAAAACTAATAATCCAATCGGTTGCAAATTTTGCAACGTTTCTCTGGGAGTGTATAGCTCTCGTATGAACTAGCCAATCGGTGAAGAACTTCCTTATTTTTTAACTTGGTTTTTGGTAAAAAATCGGTGATTTTCCAAAAATATTTTTTCAAAGGTCCACCATTTTGTTAATTTTAGAGCGAAGTCCATAATCCTAGTTCATACGAGAGCCAGACATGTACTCTTTCTAACACCGTTGGAATTTTCGGATTCCGATGTTCCAGTGAGGAGTTATCATGCCCGCCATCAAAAATAAGGACTTTTCTTTAATTACAAAAAAACAACAACAAAACAATAACAAAAATTTTTTGTAAATTATTTTTCTTCTCTTTTAAATCTTCAATTATATATGTGCAAAGTTACAAACCTTAACAAGCATTTGTATTCATTTACCAGCCCATTGAAAATCTTGAAAAATTAAAATCGGGAATGGGCGGGGGGTTCCCTTACAATATCTGTGCTTAATAGTGAAATTCTAAGTTCAAAATATCAAATTTTTAGAAAAGGTCAGATAAATAAAAGGTGTGGTGGTGTCCTCATCGCAGTAGATGCCAAATATTCCACTAATGTAATCCATTTAAATCATTTAACTGATATAGAATTTGTCGGCATATCCATTGAATTGGGTAAATTTAAATTATTCGTCACTTGTTCATATATTCCTCCTTCATCACAGATTGATATTTATAATCAGCATATATTAGCAATACAATCCATAATTAATAATATGAATGATTCGGACCGAATATTAGTTCTTGGCGATTTTAATATGCCATCTGTGAGGTGGCTTTCATTGCCAGAGTCAGAAGCTCTTACTCCATTGACATCTGACATAAATTTAAATAAATTTACTTCTGAAATTATTAGTCGATTTTGTGACATTAATCTCCAACAAATAAATAATATAGTAAATATTCATGAGAAAATCCTTGATCTAGTCTTCGTAAATCATACACCATATTTTGAATTAGTTAGAAACCTCCTATTTGTATTCCACCCAAATTTATGTATATTCTTGATACATGATTATTAATTTCTGATAATTCGTCAAACTCATTAAAAACTACTTTTAAATTAAAAAAACGAACTTTTGCAAACTCAACTCACTTATCTCATCTGTAAATTGCACCTCTATATGCCTTTGTAAAATCCTATTGATCTCGAGTTTACAAAGATACATTTTATGTTACTCTAAACAAATTTATTTCTGAATGTGTTCCTATTGTTAGAACTAGAAACTCTGATAGACATCCATGGAATACACGCGAATTGTCAAGTATAAAAAACTCAAAAAATAAACTTTTTAGAAAATATAAAAAATCTGGCTCCTCTATAGACTATGCTAACTATTCTGTTGCTATTCTGTTTTGCCCTTCTTAAAAAGTCGAGAGGTCTCTAAAAATCTACGTAGTTTAAAACCTATTTAATGTCGAGGCCCTGATGGTATACCCAGCATAATTCTAAAGAATTCTTCAGATACATTTGCATTATCTCTAACGTTATTATTTAATTATTAACTTAAATATGGTCATGTTCTTATATAATACTCTTACACATGTCTGGTATTCTAACAAATGTCTGGAATTAAACGGCATGTACATTAGAACTTTTTACCGGGTTAACCTACTTTATGAGGATTTATTTGACATATATGCAAAGGAATTGACAATTGAAACCCACTGGGTTAACGAAATCCGGTTAAATGTAAACGTACTATTATAGAGGAATTGTAAAATTAAGTGCTATTCCAAAATTGTTCGAAAAGTTAATTACTACTGTAATTTCACACAATATTCAACCCTTCCCAGTAGAAAGTGTCTTGCAGACAACATTAACGAATCCTGTAAGACAATGGCAATTCCTTGAAGACAGCTTGCAGACAACAATGTGAAATCGTTGACGAAATTTTCACACAAGTGTCGCAGTATTCATACACGACAACTTGGGCGACAGGGTAAGCGAAGTTGTCGTTGACGACAACTTCGGCGACTAATCTCCCTACTTTTCGTTACCGACAGATTCACTTCCTGTCGTTTACACATTCATTGATGACTGTATACCTATTGTCATCAATCCTGTCGTCAATCATACCCCATTTAAAATTCAAATAATAATATATATACATATTTTTCATTTATATTTTTTATAGCATGAAATTTATTATATTACAAAAACATACTTAATATTTACATAATATCATATAATATAAATAAGCACATTGTGTGAGAATTTGGCGTAATGATTATCTCCATTGTAACATCATCTGTAAAGAAACAACAAAATTAAAATGCATTGGAATATGAAACTTCTTTCAGATATTACTTACAATATTTCACCAATTGCCATTCATTTGTCCCATCCTAAGAGTAAAACAATGCACTTAAATAATGATATAAATAATTATATATTCTTTTAAACTTACCTATTTTAACCAAGAAAACACGTTTTCTTTATCTAAAATTTCTTATATGTATATATTTTCAAGAAGAATTTTCTATTTGTTTCTGTCAATATTTCATAGTACACTCGATTCAAACTATTTTTGTTTTGTTTTCATATTTCGAGAAGAACGACATTTTCGACGACATATCATGTGTTTAGTTATGAATGACAATTCCATAATTTTCGTCAACGTTTCGTTAACGAAATTGTCACGCAAGAGAGTATTTTCTACTGGGTTGTTAAGACCATATCAACATGGTTTTCGTAGTGGTCTTTCAACTATTACCAATCTTATACACTTTACTTCTACTGTGATAAAGGGATTTTTTCAGCGTAAACAAACCGATTCAATTTATACAGACTTTAGTAAAGCTTGAAAAGTAGACTATTATGTTGAATACTATGATGGTACTAAAAATATTAAATGGTAATATACCTTCGGTTTTCCTAATTTCTTCTATTAGAATAAATGTTCCTGTCCGATCTAGTAGGCACTATCAACTGTTATATGTAGACTTCCAACGCACGACTTTAACTCTGTATACTCTAATGTAGATTTAAGCTTGAGCGTAGAACAAATAAAATCTAATATTATTCTATTTTTAAATGCGTAGTAAAACTTATTAATAACAAACTGGCTATTGAAGTGGATTCTGTAGCTGGTTTTCGATTCCACTCTCAAATCCCATCATGATACGAATCATGGTGTGTGCGCGATCCCTACGTAAGGGGAGGCCGCCCCCTCGGTCGGCGGCGGTGGGAAAGAGAGGCATGGAATGTCGATTAAAAAACGCAAAGGCCTAAAACCAACGGTCTGACATTATCATCGAGACAGCCATATTCACTCAAACTTTTTATAACCTTTTATATGAGGTTATGCCATGATATAGCTTTTGACAAAAGATTTGACCAGACAAGATTTGAGAACATGAAATATCAAACATAAATCGGTAGAAAAACGTGCCCAAATTACCGAATAATCCAGGTGGCCCAAAATTAAGTGTCTATACTTATATTTCCTATATGTAAATCTGGACCTAATTGAACAACCGTGGCATATACCATTTGGAGTGCTGCAGCACCGTGCGCTGTCCACAATTTTATCTCGTATATATGTATATGGAACAGACGTAGACTTCTCGATGCACCACTTACATACAATCAGACTAAAATATATATGACAGATATATCTACATCTAAACCAAAATATATATGTGTAAGAACAAACATGGGGATTTGCAACAAAACAAAACTTTACAATTTTCATAAAATCCGACGAAGCTATATCAGGGAGCTATATGTGAAACTGAATCGATTTCAACAAAACTTTACAATCTCAAACTGGACTCAACTGAGTACGCTGTGCTAAATAGCGTCTCTATCGGAAAAATATATGGGGTTTGGTGCACCTTTTACATAAAATCGGACGAAACTATATATGGGAGTTATAACTAAATCTGAACCGATTTCAACAAAACTTCACAAACATTAAATTGGACCTAATTCAGTACGCTGTGCAAAATTCTGTCTCGATCGGACAAATATTGGAAGTCTGGTGCACCATTGAGATAATATTCCGTCTGATCAAACATAGTAATATACAAATTTAATTGGATGTCGCCCATCTCCTGCTACATAATAAAATCCAGCCTTTTTAAAATAACAAAAAAACACACACACACAATTACAGTTGCAATTTAAAATTATTGTATTGGTTATTATTAACATAACTTTTATATAATCTATAAACGTAACATTGTACAGCATTCATATACAGTGAAGAAACTTGTAAATATTGTATTGCTTCGTCAGTGGATTCTCCCTATGAACTGATCATTTCATCCATTCTGTGTATTAAAAACCCTTATAAGCCCTCCCTCTTCGACCATTCCATCCATGAACCCAAATATGGTTTAGCTCTGAAAAAAAAAAAACAAAATGTTATTTAGTAGTTATTTAATGTGTGCCTCCTATTTAATGTCGAGTCTATACTTACTTCATCCAACCTTTTGACTTTGCCAAATCGGCACCCATCTGGGCATACTGACCACCTAGACAGGTAAATATAACAACGGCATCCTTGGGTGGTTTTTCACGGCCATACATTTGCTTGAACTCACTGTCTTCCATCATCAGTGCAGCTTCTAATTCGGTGACTAAAAGAAAAACCAAACAAATAAATGATGGGTAAATGGGAAAAGATGGGTAGGACTATATATAGAGTAAAGTAATAATTGTTACCAAAAATCGAGTAAATTTGAAATATTTCAAACAACATACATTACATTTTTGGAATAACTCACATTGCTTTATTTCGTAAAAGCCAAAATATTGACTGATTGCAAAACAGCGGATCATACCATTTATTACAAGAAGGATTGAACCCCTTGAACTCTTTGCAACATTTCGGATCCGACTAACATTATATTACGGGAAGTTCGACTCCGTTGGAGATCTATTTGCACAGTTTTATTACAATAACAAATTACATGGGAACTCTAGGAATTATTATGACTATGGCAACGTGGCTTATTATTATTTCTTCTTTCTGCGTCTCTTTTCTTTATTTTTATGTTTAGTCTTCTCGAAGTTTCTAAGCGTACCGTTTGGTGCAATAAAGCTCTTGTAAATTAGAAATTATTTCTATCTTTTAATCCAGTCCCATCACACAGCTGTAGAAGGTCAGTTGTTCTTATAACTGGATCCACGAGAAACACTCCACAAGCAGCTCTGAACGCGATGCTGAACTTAGGCCTCTGGGTCTCAGCATTAAATGTCAGGCTACGTGTAATGCCCTAAGGCTGCATGAAATTTTGGCGAAATTTTGCTTACGGACATGGATGTATCCTGAACGAACAAGGTATCACATTGGGCCAACGTGTACAACTAAGCGACTATATATCACCAGACTTGAGATTTGACGATGTAGATGTCGTAACACACCGTAAGGACGACTGGAACCCTCCTCTGGACGGCCTGGTTTTCCAATATGGAAGAAGGTACAGGGCCTGGCGTCTACTGTGAAAGACTAGGCCTTGAGCTTACCTACAATTTGGATAGCAACTGTAGTGTTTTCCAAGCTGAAATCTTCGAGGTCGTTGAATCGGTGACTATCTTTGTGGTCATCCTCGAGTGTAGAGCAGTTTTGGAAACACTTACTAACAGCTTTCGGATGTACTGGGTACCAGGACACTGTGACATCAAGGGTAATGAAAATGATCTCAATCCACAGGCCTAGCAATCGATGACTCAATCAAACCATCCATCTGTCACTTTTTCCGCAATTTTGAGGCGTTATTTGGCGAACGAGTCAATGAAATTTGGCACAAGGAAACATGGTGCAATGGAAACAAGGAAGGAAACTCTGCCAGCCAAAAGAACAAAGTCACTGTTGAAACTGAGAAAAACTGAAATAAGAGTAATGACGGGAGTCATTGCTGGTCATTGCAATAACATTGCCTTTACCTGAAAGTGGAACCATGATTTTACTGATTACTGCAAACTCTGTTACGACGAGAAGGGGAGACGGAGACAATTGAACATCTCCTGTGTCGCTGTCCGGTTCTGGCCTATAGGCGGTACAGATTTGTGGGTTCTCACTTTCCGCCGTGTCTAAGCTTATTTTCAAGCCCCTGCTTTATGTGATAATAGCTTGCGGTAGCGGGTAGCAATTGGGGCGCTGAAAAAGAAACCTTGTTGACCTCTTATAATCGCTGTCCAGTTCTGGCCTACAGACGACAACAATGGAACCTGTTTAATCTACAACATAATCAGTGGTTGGGAAAGTGTAACCTGAGCACGTAATACGTTTTTTTGTCCAAAATTTCTACGACCATCGACACTATTTACTGCATACCTCCTCTTTACTTCCTCATTAGCTTGTCTCCATATCTTTTCTTGGATTATTACAATGGACCGGACGGTCTCCAAGTGCTACAGTCACAGTGACTGCACATCCCCAAACCTAACCTAGCATGTGGTACAGGCTCTTACACTATGCTGCACTTAAGCCTGCGGAATTAGCTGCATATTTCAAATTTGAGTCAATCCAAAACTTTTACAACAACACATTATTTTTGGTTGTATTTTTGGTTCACTTTCATAAAATCCGAAATTAGTCCACACAGGACTTCGTTATTTTCACATAACGTAAAAAGTAAGCAAAATAATGTTCACTTACATGGAATATTGATTAAATACTTTTCAGGATGATTTGGTAAATCTTTAACTTCTTCATGTGTCGTGAAAAAAGTTAGCAGAGTAATTTTCACTTACATGGAATATTGATGCTCGTCGGAATTGCACCATCATTTTCCACCATATCACGACTTCTAACCTCAATTAAAAATTTTTCAGGATGATTTGGTAAATCTTTAACTTCTTCGTATGTCGCGAAATCCTTCATTTGATTTTCATCATCAGCCAAACTCCAGTGTACCAGATTGGAACACAATAAAATGCACAGGACAATTGCGAACTTCGCGTGAAACATTTTGTCTGTAAACCGTTGTTGTTGTATATTCGTGTCAACGATATTAACTGATCTCTGTTTGTGAAAATCGTTTGAATTTTATATACGAACAAAATAGACACAATTTTCACAACAAAATCAAACAAATTCAATAATCATAAATTATGATTAGTGCCCTTCATTAAAGGGAAGTGGCGGATCACGAATGTCAACCCGGTTGATTGTGAAAATTAACTAAGTCTTTATTTAATATTTTGTATTTATAAAATGTAAACACGGGCATGTTACCATAGGATGAAATCAACTATACAAATAAAGATACGCTTACATGTCTACCAATCAACACATTTTTATGTCCATTGTCCCTAAAATAAATTATCATCGGTTGCACATGGTGAACACTTTGTCACGACCAATGCCATATGTTCTACACACTCAATTTTTAAAAATTCTAAATGTGAAAAAATATTTTTTGTATAGTTATATTACAAACTTAGTAATGTTCTCTTTTGGAACCGTGTTCATTTTTCGAAATTACTCTTTGCGTAAGTTCTGATTTGATTATAGCCGCTAAACAATTGTATATTTGTGAAATGCAATACTCGCTTGCATGTTTACAAAAAAGTCATTCTAAACACAAATATCGCGTTCCGCTAATGGGGAAATTTGTGTAACCCAACACATTTTAACAAAATGTCAATAATAACACTTTATTCAAGCGACCAGACGACGTAAAGTAGTTATACAGTAATTTATTTGAATAGGTCATACGTTTTGAAAACTTCCACAATGATTTGAGGGGGTTAAATTAAATTTGTTCGAAATAATCGCCTCAATTAGCATAAAGTAAATAAATTTTAGATCGGTGTGAAATGCCAATTTAATTTTTTTACTAACATATCATCTTATAATTGAATGAGAATTTAGTTTAAAATGTATAGTGGATTTTATAAATATATTTGTGGTGTTCTCTTAAAAGTCACACAGAAATTTCGAAGTTATTCCGAACAAAAAATGATCCTCCTACTCTCAACGTAAACCAAAACGACCAGTCGACCAACAACAATAACTAATGCTAAATAGGAATATGAAAATATCCACCACAAAATCAACATCCACACTGTTCACCACATGGGTGAAATTAAGCTCCCGCTGAACACAATGGCCGATGGAGAACTGATTCTGGGAGTAACGTTCGCCAGCATTTACAAGTCGTCTGGGCAAGCCACTGCTCTATGCGATAAGCTGAGAGGTAGGAACTAGGGCCTCATGTCACTAGCTGACAGCACTTGGGGCGCTGTAAGTAATACGCAGTGAAAGAATATCCAGGCCTGCCAGGATGCTGCCCTGAGAACTGGAACAGGGTGTCTCCTCAGTGGACCATCTTCATGAGGAGACGAGTATCTGACAGAATTATATGTTGTCAATGCAATACTTGCTTAGGAGTTATCGTCGGGAACATCCCTGTCATAGCCTTATGAACAGAACTCCCCCGCCCAGGCACGTAATGAGAGATATTCTAAATCTAGAGAGAGAGGCCCAAAAATATAAACGTGAACCACTAGATCAAGAAGCCTATCAAGCAAGTTTGAATGTTATTCACACAGACGCAGTCGCTCAGGCAGCCAGTAGATCAATATCGAGTAAATACCAAAAGCGGAGACCAACCCCCATCCATCGCAACAGAGGAGAAACAGCTGCTCCGGCAAACACGAGTAGTCTTAGCTCAAGTAAGATCAGTTCAATTCATATTGGACAAGAATTGACGACTCGATACCTAACAGATGTCCTGCATGTGGACTAGGACCACACGACACGTTGTACCTCTTCAACTGCCCAACTAGGTCGAATCACCTATCGCCGATTTCACTATGGACACAATCAATTCAAGTTGCAACATTTTTGAATTTGGAGATAGAGGAACTAGAACCAGACAATCCATAACCCATATTATGTATTCTGTTGCTACAACAACAACTATTGCTAAATCACAGCACAAAATGTGCCTTCAAAATGTAAAATCGGGAGATTTTTCAAAATGAATCTTAATATGTACAAATGTGAATTATATTCGCCTTTTACATATTCTAACTTCAGAAGTTCAGCGGGTAGCCATACCCTCCATACAACTTTGGAATTATATATAATAGTACCCAAACAGTACCAATTTCCTGTACTGCAAGAATCTACTACTTCATTCTGCGATAACGAAATTTCCTTTATGGTATCGAAGAATATAATAAAATCTAGTAGATTCCTGCAGCACGGGAACAGGCCAATAATGACTAACTAAAATGTTAAACAATTCGGTTGAGGCAAGCTGCTTAAATTTCACAAAATAATGCGAACATTTTGGAATGAGGTTTGCTAATTGATAACACCTCAGTTGCAACCATCCGCTGGAACCATCAAATTGAAATGATTAGATCCGTCCAATTACAGCTAATTCAATTGAGCTATTCTGAACATTAACTATTTACATATTTGTGATTCAAAGTCTCTTGTAATTTCATCTATATTCCAACACGATTTTTAAAAATTTTAATTACGTTCGCTTGCATTCCTATTAACATCAGTACATTTTTTTCTTTTCTATGGATTCACCCTCACTAAAAATAGGTGTAACAACACATCGAGAAACTTCGAAGTATGTATCACCTTCGCAGCAGTTTCTCTGCTGCCATACGAATGCAATATAAAGAGAAAGTAAAAGAAAATGCATACAAATGGTTACCATTTAATGGTATATTCCGAAATCTCTTCTGAAATGCAGAGAATTTGCAAACAAAACTAAAATTGAGAACAATACTTTTACTCTCAGTCCCAGAAGCCTCATTACAATTGCCATTCTAGAAAATATGAGAAATGTCTTTTTTTAATGAACAAATCAAATAAAAGCCGACAATATTTTCCGTTTGGCATTAGTTGTATTGAGCAATTCGTACGCTAAAGACAAGTGAGCGCTAAACAAAAACTAAAGTTCCAATAATTTGTTTGCAGTTGCGATATTAAGTGACAGTAATCTAATTAAAAGCGGAAGTCAAAATGTCTACACTACCATTGCTGTTGAGCCTTATTGATGAATTGGATCGGGAATCACCATCCTATTATGGAAATGATTTTGGTCTGGGTCTTTCACCATATCTGATTCACAGTCATGCTCATCGTGAACCTATTACAAATTCCGTTGGCTATACAATGCCCTTAAGTTTGCTCAGTCGCTTGAGTGAACGTCAAGCTGCCAGACGACGTGATAGCAAAGAGGACCGCATATCGCCCATTGGTAAGGATGGCTTCCAAGTGTGCCTGGATGTGGCCCAGTTCAAACCCAATGAATTGAATGTAAAAGTTGTCGACAATTCCATCGTCATTGAGGGCAAACACGAGGAACGTGAGGATCAGCATGGCTATATCCAACGTCACTTTGTACGTCGATATGTACTACCAAATGGCTATGATGCCGAAAAGGTAGCATCCACCCTATCTTCGGATGGCATTCTTACCGTTAGTGTTCCAAAGCCTCAAATTGAAGATAAGTCGAATGAACGTGTCGTGCAAATCCAACAGACAGGACCGGCCCATTTGAATATTAAGCAAAACTCCAAGGAAAAGGGAACAGAAACAAATGGAACAGCCACCAATGGTGCTGCGGAAGAAGAGAAAAAATAAATTACAAGAGTGGCAGCATTGCAGCGTGGAAAAAATTAAACGTTATTTAATATTAAAAATATAGAGGCGATATTGTAAACGTTTATAACGTCATCTTTACTATTATTATAATTCTGGTAGTTTGTTGTTGTCATCGAAAATTACTTGCCTTAATTACATGCATTTATGTATTCACACATGCATACATATTTATCAGTAGCATTAAAAATTAGATTTTAGAAATATATTACTTTTGAAATTATCCTATTATGTTAAATATTTCCATTTCATATTTCACATTCATACACTTAAAATAATTGAGAATAAAAGACATGAATTTAAATATATAAACATACATAATATAATACTCATATGTATCTGTGTTATCAATGATTTGAATTTGCGGAATTAGATTGGTGTCAATGTTTTGTACGGAACAAATGGGGGGAAATTCTTAACTCCAGCAATATATTTAATGTAGCCTAGGATGTGCATTTTATGCCGACTAGAAGGAGGAAAACGTTAATCCGCCTTTAAATCTGGTTATACCCAAAAGTGGTTCAACGAAAAATGTGGCTTTCAAAAAAATTTTTTGATTTACGAAATAATGTGTGAAGATGTTGTTACATAATAAATACTTAAAATCGGAAACTACATGCAATTTTTATCATATCCAACATGCATTCGGAAGGTTGTTTCCAAACTTCGTCAAGAGAATCATGACATTTTTTAGCCTTGGTTGTATGTGGTGGCGTTTGGGATCATTGATATGGGCTATGTGTATGTCCACTAGGACAATAACTAAACCTGAAGGTGCTTTTAATACCATGAGTCTATACATAAGATGAATGTAAATGTCGGTACATTCATTCCAAGGGTTTTCTGGTAAATAATGAAAGTTGAAAGTTTTTTCTCGAACAATGTTCAAAATTTTCGGAAATATATTATAGTCATATACAGACATATCTGCAACGTTTGATAATGAAAGTATACTCTTTGATTTTTGTTGATTGATTTTTACGTTCCTGCACTTTGAGGATACATTATGGCATTTTCTTGATACACTATTCCACAAAAGTAGACAACAATACAAACTGCAATAAATACAGCAGTTGCTAGCAATGAAATATAGCGATTCAAAACTGTGAAACCCTTTAACGATGCACGATAAACGATAAAGAGTAAGTCTATGATTATAATTTACAATGGTTTTGATATGAACTAAAAACTGGAATAAATCGAAAGCACAAACCCAAGTAGAGTCAATCGATATGTTGACCCCGACTTAAGAACAAGTACGTGACTGAATATACATATACCTTCAACTTATTTCATGGCCTTTCTGTTCGTAATCGGAATTTATTATCATTTAATAAGACCTAGAAATATGGAAAAATATTCAAATAAATTTTTTTGTATGTTCCAATTTGCGAACACTTTTGATCAATACTATTAGTGATAGGTCACTTCAGTTCAAACATCTGATGTAAAAGTTGCAACAGTCTCTTATACCAAAGCGAATGAAAATTCTCTTTCAACATAAGCACAAAGAGCAATTTGAGGATACAACATCTGCAATCAATAAACACATATTTAGAGATATATACAGACAAAAGTCCAATTTTTGTGGAAGCTGAAGAGCTTTCAATTTAAAGCTGGTATCCAGCACACAATAATAGCATTCAGTCTATACTCGTCTAGGCACAAAACAAGTCCAGTTTTTAACAAGTGGCATAAAAACGCACATATTTAAATAGAACACCCATACCTATTTCTGAGAATAGCATACAGTTGCAGTGCATATTCAAAGGATTCCAAATATTTAAGTGAAAGTCAACAAGGTCTCTATAAAGTGAAAATAAAATGGCTGCTTTACCATTTCTGCTGAATTTAGACTCTCATCCTTTCTACAATCCTGACATGTTTCCAAACAGTGTTTATCGCAGGCATCATGCTCGCCAGCATCACCCATTGGATATGCACACAATGGGTTTAATATCCCGTTTGGCTCCACATTTTCGCCATTTGGATATTTCCAAAGGAAAGGAGGATCTATCACCTGTTGTGGGTGGTCTCAATCATAAGGATGACGAATTTTCTGTATATCTGGATGTAGGACTCTTTCGTCCGGATGAGTTAAATGTCAAAGTTGTCAATAATCATTTAATTATTGAAGCCAAGCATGAAGAGCGCGAATCTGATGACTCCGGTTATATCTCACGTCACTTTGTGCGACGCTATGAGCTTCCCAAGAATTGTGACCAAGATGCTATTATATCGAAATTAACTACGGATGGAGTATTAAGTGTAACATTGCCCAAGACAAAGGATGGTGTCAAGGAACGAGTTATACCCATACAGCAGACTGGGCCACATGACCTATTTTTGAAAAATAAATCAAATTCCGAGGAAAAGGTTAAACCAGAGCAATAAATGGCTCAAGCGTAACATATTACCAAAGATATTGAACATTTTATGATATATATCAACTCACTAAAATTTTAATTATAATAACAAATATATATATACTCAATGTATTTGCCATATAATGATTGATACAAACAAGTCCCTCTATTAATAGGGAAGTAATCAAAAAAAGTAAAAGTAATCAAAACTTAAACATTTAATTATGTTTATTTCATTTGATGTTTATGGAAATTTATAAAATAACCACTGCATTAATGCATACATTTAGCTTTGTAATAACAAACAAAAACGTGTATCTTTGATAAATAAAAAATACATTTTATTCTCACATTTATTCAATAAAAAATCTTAATGGAATAGAGTTCGTTGTTTCTATGCAAAATAAAAAGGTTGTACAAATCTTTAAAATTATAATAAAAAATCGAAAACAATTCGATTAATAGAATATTATTGTAGCTTCTGGAACAGATCAATACAAATTATATAGGGAAGGCGCCTGAAATTCTCTACCGGGTTAACGCAATGTTTTCATGTTAACCAAATCTTAGATACTTCATGCGTATTTTAACTAAGGACAAATTTTAGTAGTAATCTTTTGCAGATCATCTTCCTGAAACTACATATTTTCCCGAAATCTTACATCTTCCTTACAATACGTTCGTAGTATTTTCATAAGTATAAACATTTGCAGAGTCAATTTTCAGCGTTATTAACTGGGAACTTTTCAAAAATGAAATTATTTAATAGCAATCTAGGATATATACAGAGTAGAATCTCGTTATAACGATTTCTATATTGTCAGTCATTATAGTTAAATCGAAATATCGTTAACAGCATTTTATTTTAATTTTTCTACTTGAAAATCTTTAACCAATTCGGTCCGCCAAAATCTGTTGGGAGAAGAAAAACCCTAACTGGATTTTGAATTATTAGCTAAGGTTTTTGTTTTTGATATAAACAAAATTAAAATGTTTTCAAAATCAGTTGTAATTAATATTCAACATTACAGCACTCAGAGAAAAATCTTACTGTTTAATGGGAATAATTATTATAATAATATTTGTAAGACCATATTGTGAAAAAACTCGATATTCCATAAAATTTTCGTCAGTTTCCAAATTTTGTTTACTCCACGATGCAATAAAAATTTATTGAATTAATTTGTATTAAAGTTGAGTAAATCGATAATTAGATAAAATACTGCATTTTTGTCAATAGTCTGCATTTTTTTCCAATTGTCGGCATGTCATGTTCCAACAGTCGGCATGTCGCATTTTTGTTAAACAAAAATTATATATTTAATCGATTTTTCTGTTATTTAAATTAATAAACTATTGTTACGTTCTTAGATTTTACTAAATCCCGTGTAGACGTTGTTTTATTTCCCGATACAATTCGTACCAAATAAAACGCGGGTTCTTTCTGATTACGATTATTACAATGATTTTATTCACACAACTTTACTTTGCACTTTACTTTACACGACGGTTTCAATTCGCGATCTGATTCACAACTGACTCACTGCCTTTCCATTCCCTCTATTTATATGAGCCCTGCCTGTCGCTACAGAAGTTTCTAGACGATCTGGTAACACCTAGATCACGAACAATCTACCAATGCAACAAACACATTGAGTAACAATAACAACAACAAACTTACTGAGTGAACAATAACAACAACAAACTTGAGTAAACAAACTTACAATAACAACAACACATATACAGGCGAGGGAATAACAAAGAAAGAGGAATAACAACAACACATATACAGGCGAGGGAATAACAAAGAAAGAGGAATGACGTTTAACAAGAATTGTACGACAATAACAAAATAGAAAATGAAAGAGGAAATGGAAGGATGTAGAAAAATCTATGCAGTGGTTGTTGTTGTGAAGTTATTCAAATAAACTGCGTAGTAGAAATTTACGTTACAATTCAAATTCTTAAATTAACGGAATTCATCTAAATTAACTTAAATCTATAGTTATATTCGTAACATTGCCCCCCGCTTAAGCCTGTTCGTCCCGAATAGGCACAGTTCCCGTTCCGTAGGGGGCCAGCCGCTCCAAATGTACAACTTTCATCTTCGATCTGGGACTGTCACTCCTCTGGATGCGATAAACGACGTCATTTATTTTCGTGACAATCTTGTAGGGTCCTTCCCAGTGCGTCTGCAATTTGGGGCAAAGTCCTTTCTTTCGTTGTGGGTTGAACAATAGTACCAGTTGCCCTTCTTGGAACCCATCGGTATTTGCCGCTCGATCGTACCTTGCCTTCATGCGGTTGCTAACCAATTTTATTCGATGGCGAACAGCATCGTGGACTTTACTAAAAGAGTTCTGCCTGTCTTCTTCTTGGTTCACATCGTGGTTTGGGGTAGCACCGAATATCAAATCGCCAGGTAGCTTTAATTCATTTCCGAACAGAACTTTGGCTGGAGTCCGGGATGTGGAATCATGAATGGCCGATCTATAAGCCAGTAAAAACTTTGGAATATGCTCATCCCAGTCTCGTTGGCCACTGTCCACCACTTTCCGTAGATGTTCTTCAAGGGTGCGATTGAATCTTTCCACCATGCCATCTGATTGTGGATGTAGGGGCGTCGTTCTGGTTTTCTTAATTCCGTAGGAGTCACACATTTCCTTGAAGATCGCTGATTCAAAATTCCTACCTTGATCGGAATGAACCTCAGATGGAACACCATAGCGACAAATCCAATTTTTGCTGAACACATCCACAATTGTCCTGGCTTCTTGATTTGGGATAGCATAAACCTCCGGCCATTTACTGAAGTAATCCATGACCACTAAGACATACCGGTTCCCAGAGTCGCTTGTGGGGAACGGTCCAGCTACATCCATTGCGATTCTTTCAAAAGGGGCTCCTGAATTATACTGCTGCATGTAGCCTCGACTCTTCCGTGTTGGACCTTTAGCTGTTATGCACCTTTCACAATTGGCGATCCAGTCGGCAATGGATTTTTGACAGCCGACCCAGTAGAATCTCTGCTTTACCTTTTCAGCGGTCTTTGCTATGCCAAGATGTCCTCCACTTGGCCCATCGTGAAACTCCGACAAGACATCTCTTATTTTGGAGTCTGGGACGACGATCAAGTTCCGGTGAGATTTACCGTCCTCACTTTCCCATTTGCGATATAGGCAGCCATCTTTTATAAGTAGACTGTCCCACTGCGCCCAATAGGATTTTAAAAGAGGGCTTTCGGAGGTAATTTCTTTACGACTAGGTCGCTTGCCCGTTTCAATGGCCGAAATTACTTTGCCCAGAATGGGATCTCTTCGTTGTTCCGTCGACCAATCTTCACCCGACTCAAACTGCAATAGTCGGACATCAACGATATTCTCCTTATTCTCAGCCTTTGAGCAATGCCTGCATTCTACCTTGCATGGCCGACGAGACAGGGCATCAGCATTACCGTGTTTTCCGCCTTTTCTGTGCTCGATTCTGAAATCATAACTCTGGAGCCTCTCGATCCAACGGGCTAGTTGACCTTCCGGATTCTTAAACCGCAGCAACCATTGGAGAGCAGCGTGGTCGGTCCTCAGCAGGAAATGCTGGCCATATAGGTATTTGTGGAAGTGTTTAACGCTCTCAAGGGCAGCAAGCAGCTCTCTCCTCGTCACACAGTAATTCCTCTCAGGCTTCGACAATGTCCGGCTGTAGTACCCGATGACTTTTTCCTGTCCGTCGATTTCCTGGGAAAGGACGCCACCAATGCCGCACGCACTTGCGTCTGTGTCCAGAGCAAACTTTCCGCCAGGTATAGGGTATGCCAAAATGGGGGCTCTGCATAGCATGTCTTTGAGTTTACTGAACGCCTCTTCTTGGTCGTTGCCCCACTGGAACCTCTGGCCTTTTTGCGTTAAGCGGTGTAGACAGGCGGCGATGTTGGCAAAATTTGGGACAAATCGACGGTAGTAGGTGCAGAGACCCAGAAAGCTTCGCAGCTCATGGAGATTTCGGGGCTGCGGCCAATCTCTGACGGCTTGAATTTTCTCCTTATCCGTCGATATGCCCTCCGGCGTCACGTGATGCCCCAGGAACTTCACCTCTCGTTGGAAGAGACTGCACTTCTTTGGGTTCAGCTTGAGGCCTGAAGACGAAAGCTGCTGAAGAACATCCTTTAAATTCTTGATGTGTTCGTCGAAGTTGCGTCCCATGACTATGATGTCATCCAGGTATATGAGGCATGACTTCCACTGCAGCCCTTTTAACACACGCTCCAGCCCTTTTAACACACGCACAATTGGCGATCCAGTCGGCAATGGATTTTTGACAGCCGACCCAGTAGAATCTCTGCTTTACCTTTTCAGCGGTCTTTGCTATGCCAAGATGTCCTCCACTTGGCCCATCGTGAAACTCCGACAAGACATCTCTTATTTTGGAGTCTGGGACGACGATCAAGTTCCGGTGAGATTTACCGTCCTCACTTTCCCATTTGCGATATAGGCAGCCATCTTTTATAAGTAGACTGTCCCACTGCGCCCAATAGGATTTTAAAAGAGGGCTTTCGGAGGTAATTTCTTTACGACTAGGTCGCTTGCCCGTTTCAATGGCCGAAATTACTTTGCCCAGAATGGGATCTCTTCGTTGTTCCGTCGACCAATCTTCACCCGACTCAAACTGCAATAGTCGGACATCAACGATATTCTCCTTATTCTCAGCCTTTGAGCAATGCCTGCATTCTACCTTGCATGGCCGACGAGACAGGGCATCAGCATTACCGTGTTTTCCGCCTTTTCTGTGCTCGATTCTGAAATCATAACTCTGGAGCCTCTCGATCCAACGGGCTAGTTGACCTTCCGGATTCTTAAACCGCAGCAACCATTGGAGAGCAGCGTGGTCGGTCCTCAGCAGGAAATGCTGGCCATATAGGTATTTGTGGAAGTGTTTAACGCTCTCAAGGGCAGCAAGCAGCTCTCTCCTCGTCACACAGTAATTCCTCTCAGGCTTCGACAATGTCCGGCTGTAGTACCCGATGACTTTTTCCTGTCCGTCGATTTCCTGGGAAAGGACGCCACCAATGCCGCACGCACTTGCGTCTGTGTCCAGAGCAAACTTTCCGCCAGGTATAGGGTATGCCAAAATGGGGGCTCTGCATAGCATGTCTTTGAGTTTACTGAACGCCTCTTCTTGGTCGTTGCCCCACTGGAACCTCTGGCCTTTTTGCGTTAAGCGGTGTAGACAGGCGGCGATGTTGGCAAAATTTGGGACAAATCGACGGTAGTAGGTGCAGAGACCCAGAAAGCTTCGCAGCTCATGGAGATTTCGGGGCTGCGGCCAATCTCTGACGGCTTGAATTTTCTCCTTATCCGTCGATATGCCCTCCGGCGTCACGTGATGCCCCAGGAACTTCACCTCTCGTTGGAAGAGACTGCACTTCTTTGGGTTCAGCTTGAGGCCTGAAGACGAAAGCTGCTGAAGAACATCCTTTAAATTCTTGATGTGTTCGTCGAAGTTGCGTCCCATGACTATGATGTCATCCAGGTATATGAGGCATGACTTCCACTGCAGCCCTTTTAACACACGCTCCATCAGCCTTTCAAATGTAGCCGGGGCGTTGCAGAGTCCGAATGGCATGACATTGAACTGCCAGAGACCCCCATTAACGCCAAACGCTGTTTTCTCCTTATCTTTCTCGGCGATCTCTACTTGCCAGTACCCACTCTGCAGGTCGAGGGTGGAGAACCATGACGTCCCGGCTAATGTGTCCAATGTGTCGTCGATTCTTGGGAGCGGATAACTGTCTTTCTTGGTGACATCATTTAACTTTCGGTAGTCCACACAAAACCGGGTGCTTCCGTCTTTCTTCTTGACCAAGACCACTGGGGAGCACCATGGACTTGACGATGGTTCTATTACACCACTCTTTTCCATTTCACTTATCAGCTTCTGGACCTCGTCTCTTTTGGCCAGGGGAACACTTCTTGGAGGCTGTTTAATGGGTCGCGCGTCTGCTGTATTGATTTCATGCTTCACCACTGACGTTCTTCCTTGGTGCTCTTTTGTCAACGCAAAGGTAGAGGCATACTTCCATAATAGCTGCTTAGCCTTGTCCCTCTCGGAAGGTGATAATTGGTGTGTCCACTCTTTTATGTAGCCGTCGAGGTGCTTCTTCTCCATGGCTGCTGGCTTTTCGGTGCTAGTTTCCAAATTAATCACAGCTTCAGCTGGTGTGCATTGTCCAACATCGGAAAATTGGCAAATTTGCTCTTGCTTGTTTGAGAGGTTCAAAACTCTAACAGGAATCAATCCGTCCTCGTTGCTTTTCACCAGGGCGTTCGCTATTAGGATGTTACTGTATCTGTTTTCTGCTGGTTCCACCACCCACAACTTCTCGGCTCCACAATCTCCATCCATAGGTACCCATATTATTGCTTCGGCACAGGGCGGTATTATCTCTGGATGGTCCGTAGTCAGACGTCTAATGGGTGTACTTTCATCGTAGCCCACGTTTAACGGAATTTCGACGTTAGACCAGGTCATCACACGCTCTTTCATATCCAGATTGATACCGAAGGCAATCATAAAATCTGCGCCTATTATCACTTCGTCTACGATATCGGCAACTATAAAATCGTAATTCACCGATTTATTGGCAATAGTTAGTCTCAGGGTAATCTTGCCGTGTACGGCCGCGGGCTCCCCCGTTGCTGTGCGCAGTCTGACTCCATTAAGTTGCGTTATGTTTCCCTTTACCAGATCTGATCTTATGATGGACTTTGATGCGCCAGTATCTAACGTCAGAACTCGCTTGTCACCATTGATGTACCCAGTTGTTGTTAGGTTGTGACTTTTCTGTTGTACTATTGCTATGGAGATTGTGGGGCCATCGTCGATGGGAGCCAGTTCATGCCCCGCTGGACTGGCTCGATTTAGTTTAACGGTGACTCATTGGTGGACTGTTGAGCCATTCGTCTACCATCTTTCGTTGGAGGTGGTGACGATGACCTGGATCGTTTGCGCTTAGCTCTGCATTCGCGCGCAATATGACCTGCTTTATCGCAGTTGTAGCATCTAACCCTGGGCTTAGTCATCCCTACTAACTTTGTTTGTTCTATTACCCGCCTCATGGCGTCCTCGATCGAGTTAACGAGAGATTTGGGTTCGAAACTTTTGGTCTCCAGTTGGCGAATCTTGTGGGTCTGGGGCTTAACAATTATTCTTGCCGTCTCCTGGGCAAGGGCAAACGACACGGTTTCGGCAAATGACGTTTTTGGTGACGCATATGTTGCACATTTAATCTCAGGGTCACGTATGCCATTCACAAAGGTTTCGATTTTCATACGGTCCACCAATGGGTGATTCTCTCCTGGATACGCCATTAGCACCAAACGTTCCACCTCAGCTGCAAAGTCTTGCAACGTCTCGTTTGCCCTCTGCACTCTTCCCCTTAATTCCATAAGGTAGATGTTTTGTTTATGTTCGCCACCGTACTTACGTTCCAGTGCAGCAATAACATCTTCATAGTTGTTTCTAGAAGCAACAGGAATACTCTGTATAACATCAGCAGCACTGCCCTTCAATGCCAGAAGTAGTGCAACCGCTTTGTCGCTGTCGTTCCACGAATTTCTAGAAGCCACTGTCTCGAACTGTAACTTGAAAACATTGAATGACGTAGAGCCGTCGAATACAGGAGGTTTGATTTTTAGTGTGTTATCAGGAGCTCGCACCGGACCACCTTTAATTTCCAGTTCCGAAATTTTCTTCTCCAGATTCGTAAACCTGTGGTCGTGGGCCAGAAATTTCTCGTCAACCGACTGCACTTTCTTATCCAAATCTTTAATTTGGACCTCCACGGTTTCCACTCTCCTTCCAATAACTTCTGTAATGTTCTCGAGTTTCTCGTTCATTCTACAGTTCTCTGCCTTGAGTTCATCTAACTTTCTGGAATTCTCTTCGAACATTCGTCTCGAGTTTTCTTCTAACTTTCTGGAATTCTCTTCGAACATTCGTCTCGTGTTTTCTTCTAACTTTCTGGAATTCTCTTCGCTCCTTCTGAAATTTTCCTCAAACATTTTGGCCAGCATTTCTCTGAAATCGTCACCCCTGGCAGCTACTGACGAGACTTCCCCACCGTTGGATTCGCCCATTTCCGATAAATCCACTTCATCCTTACTGTCAAACTCATATGTATCGATGTTCATACCACGGCGCTCGAACTCATCCAACAGACGTTTTTGTAGTTCAGCCTTGTTGCCAGTAGAGGACAATTCCAACTTATTGAGCTCCTTCTTTAAGTCTTCCACTCGTAGATCCTTAAACTTCATCGTAGTATTATCGTAATCCCACTTCTGACACCAATTGTTACGTTCTTAGATTTTACTAAATCCCGTGTAGACGTTGTTTTATTTCCCGATACAATTCGTACCAAATAAAACGCGGGTTCTTTCTGATTACGATTATTACAATGATTTTATTCACACAACTTTACTTTGCACTTTACTTTACACGACGGTTTCAATTCGCGATCTGATTCACAACTGACTCACTGCCTTTCCATTCCCTCTATTTATATGAGCCCTGCCTGTCGCTACAGAAGTTTCTAGACGATCTGGTAACACCTAGATCACGAACAATCTACCAATGCAACAAACACATTGAGTAACAATAACAACAACAAACTTACTGAGTGAACAATAACAACAACAAACTTGAGTAAACAAACTTACAATAACAACAACACATATACAGGCGAGGGAATAACAAAGAAAGAGGAATAACAACAACACATATACAGGCGAGGGAATAACAAAGAAAGAGGAATGACGTTTAACAAGAATTGTACGACAATAACAAAATAGAAAATGAAAGAGGAAATGGAAGGATGTAGAAAAATCTATGCAGTGGTTGTTGTTGTGAAGTTATTCAAATAAACTGCGTAGTAGAAATTTACGTTACAATTCAAATTCTTAAATTAACGGAATTCATCTAAATTAACTTAAATCTATAGTTATATTCGTAACACTATTATTATCGGCCGTTTCCATCAGCATTGTATTGAAAAAGTTATTTAAAATAATTTTATTTATTAAAATATTACAATTGTAAACATAGCACCGACTTTGGGAACCTGTTATCCAATTCTCGCATTTCAGAGGTTAAAAAATATCATTTCTTCTATAAAACTACTCCTATACACTTATTTATCATTTTTCCAATTTGAAGCCAAAATGATCGAAAACGTGTATATTATGCACTCATATGCCGACTATAGGAAAACCTTAAAATATTTGTTCTAAAGGACGGCATTGATAAAAATATAGACTTTTGCATGAATATGGAACTAATAAAATCTAATATAATTGTATTTTTAAATTAATAATACAACTTAATAACAAACTGGCTGTTGAATTAGATTTCTGTAGCTGGTTTCATATTCCATCATAAAGCGGATTATTGTGTATACGCGATCCCTACGAAAGGGGAGGTCGCCCCCTCGTTCGGCAGGGGTGTGAAAGTGAGGCATAGGAACGCTCGATAAAAAAAGAGCCTTGTAAAAATATATAATTTTAATATAGTTACAAGTTAATATAGTAACAAGTATAATGGACATGCCCACAAATTTTTTTCTTAAGAAACATAAATTATCACTAGTGTTAAAAACACAAAAAATAATATTAATGATTTTCAAATTTGTATATATTTCTTGGAAAACTTCTTAGTTCATATAAAATAACAAATTTTGGCTTAAGTTGAGTTTAGGGGCTCATCTCCAATTTTTCTGAAATTTTTACCACAGGTAGATCTCGTCTCCCTGATCACGAAAATATATGACATTCATGGGGAAACCCATATTTCCCGAGATATGGACCTCTGAAGTTCCGTAATTCATATGCTCATAACTTGGACATTTATGGGCCGACAATCGTAATATTGACGGATATTTATCCCCGGCCGAAGGCCGGCTATATAAGAAAAACTTTGAAATAAAGGAAATTTTAATCGCGTAGCCAATTTTTCCACCTGTCCATAGCAGAAAGTCTTAAATCCCCGGCCGAAGGCCGGCTATTTAGAAAAAAATAGTTTAAAAAATATTGTTGATGCGTTAGCCGAATTTTCCGCCTGTCCATAGGAGAAAGTCTTAAATCCCCGGCCGAAGGCCGGCTATTTTTTATAAATTTTTAATTAAAACGAATTTAAGTGGAAATATAATGTGTACGCTTTACAATCATACCAATATTACCTTCACCGATTCATAAATAACGAAGTTATGAGCATAGGAATTTCGGAACTTTAGAGGTCCATATCTCGGGAATTATGGACTTCCCCCATGAAAGTCATATATTTTCGTGATCAGGGAGACGAGATCTACCTGTGACAAAAATTTCAGAAAAATCGGAGATGAGCCCCTAAACTCAACTTGTTCCCAAATTTTAATTCATAAGGAATACTTTTATTTATTAAATACAATAAGATCTTATTACCTATTTTTAACATAAGCTATGAGGATAAATTAAAGTCTATGTTACTTTTAATCTGGATTTTCTTTCCCGATCTTCCATCTTTTTGCGTTGCATCTCCAACATTTGTAGGCGCATTTTTTGTAATTCAGATTTGTCAGCACCTTGTCTGCTCTGCCTACCACCCATCGTTGTCGTTTCTTCCGTTTTGATTTTATCAGTTGATAATGACATGAGATTTTGTTCAGTTCGTTCTGTTGTCCCACTAATGGAAGCGACAACATTTGAAATATTCTTCACAACTTCATGTACATTGCTTTTATCGTTCATCGATTCAACAGATTCCTCCTTCAAGACATTCTGAGGATCGGAATTGGAATTCCTATCGATCATCTTGTAAAGAACGTCCATCAACTCTTTATGTCTACGATCGCGATTCCGCTCCCTAATCTCATTGATTTCCAACAATGTTTTACGTATTGTGTGACTCAAATGTCTAATAGATTTTGTGGTTCCGAAATCTTTATCCAGCATTTCGGCTGTTATATTAGTAGCATCCTCAACATCGCTATCGCCGCTATCTGTATCTACGGCATTACTGATCACAGTGGTAACAATTTTTCGCCTTTTCGATTGATCTAATTCATCAACAAACCTCCTCTTCTTTAGCATGGTAGTTCAAGTCCAATTTTATTCGCAACAAACGGTGTAACATTAAGCCTTCTTTGGTCAAATAGAATTTATTTAGATACACCGACCGAATTTAAAAACGTTCCAAATGACCAAATAGGGATAGACTTCAACGATTGCACTTTAAGTGTTAAACTATTTTTTTTTCTTTTTAAATGATTTATATGTACAAGAAAGAGAAAACGCATATTTCCACAGTAGAAACCAGATATAACGCACAACGGTTATAAGCAACTACACATATAACGAACAAAGCTAATTCTTTCTCAGATATTTTCATTAGTTTTCTTATACACAACAAACGATTGAAAACGATTAGGGTAATAAGTTAAAAAAATCGACCCCGCGATTATATATTTAAAGGAATAATTATTACAATGTTGTATGTTTTCACAGAATGCATTAATAAGGATTAATTCAGTACCCATTTATACTCCTTAATGTTATTAATATGTAAAAGCGAGATAAAACCATGCTTACTACAGTCGAGCACGCTTAAAGTAAACACAGGATATACTGAACAACATTTTCTCATATGTATTTTTTTATTTTTAATCAATGTTGAAAAAGGCACATTATTGGTGTTTTATATTCTAATGGGAACCCAAGCCAGCCATTTCCTCTTCTCCACTACTTAGATTTTTTCATAATCTTTTCTTCAACAACCTATTTGCGGTTTACGAGTCATGTTATGTTATGGGACGTTGTAGACATCAATATCAAGGCACAATGTTAATAAAAGTATTGCCAAAAAATCTATTCGAAATTCGGAGATTTTCATTTATAATTTTGTTTTTTAATTTTTTGGTTCAACATTACAACAACATTTTTGACATTTATTTGTCCAACAGCTGGGCCGATGCGGCTACCTTATTAAATATACCTTGCATCTACCTTGATCAATAGGTTCGTTCGTTTACTCAATAATTTGTACGAATTTATACAAATTATTACAAAATGTTGTTCGTTTACCCAAAAGTCCAGTAAAAGAGAGTGAATTGAGAGAGCAGATTTGACAGTTGTGTTACTGAGTATTTGCAAATTCTTACAAGGAAAATTTACTCAGTAAGAATTTTCTTGTACCATCAGCTGATATTTAATCAGCTGTTTTGTTATGTTTTGTAAACAAACAAAAACTTGTTCTCAAGAAAATTAATTGTTTCGTGAATTTTATTTTGATTTTGTATCATTAAATACCAAAATGGATGAAGAAAACGCAAGTATTTAAAAATAAGGTAATACAAGAGTAACTGGCGAACGATTTTTTAGGATCAAAAACCAAACAAAAAAGTGTGCATACCTAACATGTCTGGAACACCATCGGTTATGTCCACCCCCATATCAATTGCAGATACAGGAATAACAGGTCGCAACCCTTTAAAATGTTTGTGGGGAACAAACAACATCAATTTTCCGCTTGTTATCCATTTTTCTAGTAAAAATGCTGCTTTTTAGTTTGCGCGAATTTGTTTGTTGTTTTAATCAGCTGTGTCGAAACTATATTTTACTGGATGTTGTTCGTTTACTTTTTGCAGTTTTCTCTCTTGAGAAGGAAAAATTCGTATTTACTCTCTGCAAATTCTTACTGAGTAAATATTACTGGGAAAGTAAACGAACGAACCTAATATGTTTCTTTACTTTGTCCTGATTTAGATTAGGCGAGTTTACTTGCGGCAATTATTATCGTTCTCTTTTGAACTTGCTTCATGCGTCTATACAAGGCAATTCGGTTTCAAAAATATATTTTTTTACATTTTGTGACAATGTTCTGGATTGGTATTTCAAATTACTGACACTACAAACAAAATACACAAAACGAATTGCCAGAAAATTGTCGGTACGGGCAATTTTTTTTCAATTTCTATTCCCCTTGCCCCTCTCTCCTGCAAACAAAGACTTGCCGCAAGTAAACTCGCCCAATCTAAATTGAGACTTTTATTTCTTTCGCCAAAGCAAATATCGAAATTTTTATTGTTTTATATACTGAAGTTCACTATAAAAAACCGATATATCATGAAGAATGCAAAAAAGAATCGATTTAAAAGGCTTTCATTATTATATTTCAGATGTCAAAAGATCAGACAAATTTAAACACTTTAGTAAAAGTCTATCTAAAACGACTTATATTTTAAAAATAAACACATTTCTTTTATTATGGTCAACTATGTAAATTTTGAATCGCTACACAAATTTATTAACAAATATTATACATTAAATAAACAGCGCACACCACCGCCGATATTCTCCATGTTTAATTTTTATGTCTATGCTTTGTATTCAGCGGTTTCAAGCATTTTAATATACGCCTTAATTTCTAAATTTTTTTATTTCATTAATTTTATTTTTCAAAGTTTAGTGTTTGGCTACGATTTTCACCGCTTTTAAGACACTTTTACGCAAAAAATCATACAGAATCATAAATTTTGACATGTTTTCATTTTAATGCCATCAAAAAAGATATTATTTTCCAAAATTGAAAAAATGACTTTTTGCCTAAAAAAACTGTCCAAATTACCTATAGCGGATTGTAGAGTTTCATTCTTTACAAAGAGAATGGGAAGAGATTGTGAAAAATAAAAAAAACTACTTCGAAATTCGTAAATTGGCTTCATTCAATTTAAAAAAATGAATATTTTACATTTGAATTTAAATGTTTATATCAAAGGTTATTTTTTCGCAATGAAAACATATACAGTGGTGGTCACGTAATTAAAACACTTTTTGATCAGCCCTCGATTCTTTTGAAGTATTTTTGAAATTTTTTTAATTCAGAACACTTCGATATACTGCTCTTAAGAGATTTAGTGAGTAAATAGAAAATTAATGCATGCACTTTTTCCATAAATAACGGTTTTGAAGTGGCCACATAATTAAAACATTGTGTGATTTTTTTCCTTACTGCATTTTCATTTCATTTTTTTCATTTTTATTCAACAATAACATGTATACAAAGCCTTCAGGCCAAATAAGATGATACATTATGATTAACAATATGAATTAACTACTCCAACAAAGGGACATTTCAGACATGTCCAAACTAAATCCATAAAAAAATCTAAAACTAAAATTCTATACATAAAGAGTTCTTAAAAAATAACTATAATATATATTTTACCTATGGCACTTTATACTCGCCATACAAATGTGCAATTGGAAAAAAATTATCATACAAGGTGACGAACAAGCCTTTTATAAAACGTGAATGGGTAAGGCGTTGTACAGCCGCGCAACACGAACTAAAAACGAATCATTCATTCGATGGTGTACAACAGGAATCTGTAGCTGATTGCGCCTAGTAGACGAGCAAAAAACAAATGTTCTTACCAAAAATTGGGGACACTGATTCTTAACCATTTTAAAAAAATTAAGTAGCAAACGTGAATCAACATAAGAATGAAAAGAACAACCAAAGAAGTCAATTACATATGGCGTGACATGGGCACGGGTATTCAATCTATACACATACCGGATAACTCTGTTGACAGCCAACTGAATGAGACGCATATTAAAGGAACTAGAACCGGAGTAAACTTCCAAACAGTAAAGAAAAGCGGGCAAAACCAATGCAAAAGCCAATCGTTTCCTAAGAAAAAATGGCACAGCTAAATCCGTGGCATAAAGACCCCGAAGGGATGAATTCATCTGGGATGCAATCATGTTAATGTGACTTCCAAAACTCAATTTATCATCAATGACCACCCCAAGGCACAGCAATTCGGAGACAAATTCAATATATCTACCATCATAAGCAACAGATACAAAACTATTACTAAACGAACTAAAAAAAAGCGCTTATAAAACCTTCATGGCACAATCCATCATTGACTGAAACACTGATGCAAAACGACAGTCTCCTTTGAATAACAACTGAACATCATCAGCAAAAGCAAATGGTTCACAAAAAAAACTCAGCTCTGAAAAAAGATCATTAAGAAATAAAATAAAAAGTAGCGGCCCCAAAACCGACCCCTGAGGCACACCACTTTTAACAGGTAAAATAGAACTACATCTATTTTCAGCACAAACCAACTGCTCTCTCCCAGATAAATACGACGCCAAAAGATAACTCGCGCTTCTTGAAAACTTATACAACGATTGCAACTTACGAACCAACTTAGAATGATCGACCCTATCAAACGCCTTTTCCAAGTCAAGCGACAAGAGAACGCAAAACCTGGTATTGTCTAAACTAGCACGAATGCTATCCGTCAGTCCCAGTAAAAGCGATGCAGTACTTCTATTCCTTCTGAAGCCACATTGAACATCATTCAACAAACCATTGTTGTGCACGTAACAAATAATCTGAGACTTCAACACATGCTCAACAACTTTGGAACATATTGGCAATATTGGCAAAATTTGAAAATATTAAAAAAAAACTATTTAATTTAGGTAAATTATGTATGTTCCGAATGCACCAGAAATTGCTAGAATTAGTAGTAGTTAATATTTCTCAAAATAAATAAATATTTGAAATAAAAACTCAAAAAATTGGGAATTAACTTAAAGGAACGGTTCAATTTCGATAGCCTTTATTGAAGAAGGCCGGAATATTTTTGCAGTATGTGAGAAGATATCGATTGATATTGGCATTTATTATATCAAATCGATTGTTCAGGTAGTACAGAATATATTTGATCAAAAAATATATCAGTCATAACAGAACGAACAGAGTTCAACGTCTATGTTGATCTGGTGCGCACGATAACCGATTACATCCAAACTTTGCACATTGTAATATTTCTTCCAAACTGAGTTCTGGTTTGAAAACAGGGGGAATATCGTTATCGTCCTTCTGTTACCTCCCAAACAAAATGTTCAAAATTGTGGTAAAAAATAAATCTTACAATATCATGTGAACGGACTATCCGATTTCAAGCAAACTTTATACAAGCTAGATCAAGTCAGAAGATGGGACCCATTGGTCCTTGATTCGTAATGTAAAGTACTACTTAGATATAACTTTTTACATTTTTAAAGTTTTTCGTCACAGCGATTTTGATATTTCACACTTTTAGAATCTTCGCTACAAAAAAAGTTCGGGAACAGTACAAATGTAACGGCAATCCTTCCTACATATGTTTTTATGTACTGCTTTTCATACCATCAGCTGGTTATATATTATTACGCCGTTTAAATTGCACCATTAATATGGGCGGATGTACTTATTTGTAGAGACTTGTGCTTTATTGGTTCCAGTTTTAAAGCTAATTTATAAAAATTGATTATCTTTAATTAGGAATATCTTGAAAGTTTTTTATATTTTAAATGCGCATGCTATAGACATCTGAACATCCGTAAATGTTTAAGTGTGACCCCTCAAGATAACACTCACGCAATAACATATGTGAGATTAACCTCGTTTAGTTAAAATGTTTTGTTTATTTTTGCGGCAAATTTCTAACGGAGCACTCCACAGGAGTGTACAACAGATAAAAAGGATAACCCCACAGAAATTGCTGCATACAACAAGTAGTAAGTGTTTATATGTGGCTTTCAGTGCTATAGGCTACTAGTTTTAATTATGTTTTTTTTTTTATATTCAGCCTCCCGACACGGTGAATACGAATGGCAAGATCCAAAATCAGAAGATGAAATGTAAGTGAAATAAAATGTACATTAATTTGTTGTTTCATACATTCTTTTGCAGTGTTCGAGTTACATTTATTGATAAAAATGGAAAGCGAACCAAGGTGAACGGAAAAGTTGGGGACAATGTTCTCTATTTGGCTCATCGCTATGAAGTTGAAATGGAAGGTAAAGATTTCTGTCACAATTGTAATTTATGTAACCGTTGTTTGTTATTTTGTTATTATTTGACTATTAAATGACTATTCATCATTTATCAATGTATGAATTTGCAATATCATTATTGCCAGAGAAATAGATATTTTGTTTCAACTGTAGTCCTACATTTTATTTTCAAGGTGCGTGTGAGGCATCTTTGGCTTGTACAACGTGCCATGTTTATGTTCATGGTGATTATTTGGAGAAATTGCCAGAGGCTGAAGAAAAGGAAGATGATTTGTTGGATATGGCGCCCTTCCTTAAAGAAAACTCCCGATTAGGCTGTCAAATAATTCTAAATAAGGAATTAGATGGCATAGAACTGGAGTTACCCAAAGCCACAAGAAACTTTTATGTTGACGGGCATAAACCCAAACCGCACTAAATCGAGTCCTGTGCTTCGCCAAAAGAGGGGACGTCGTTTTGTATTATAGTTTTGATATTTTTGTTGAGCTTTATGGAACAAACAATGTAGTAGTGTAATAAAAATCATAAGAAATAACTTTAAATTTCATTAGTGTATTTTTCCAACGATGGTTGTCTAAAAGGGCATTGGTGGTTAAATTCTTATGTATTTATAATAAATATGAACTTGCCATTATGGTTGTCGTCAAGCGTGATTTAACAATGATTTTAATAATTTGTTTAGTCTCTCAATTGGTTGTAGTCTTAATTACAATATTTTTATTTATATCTTTTTCAAAACACTATACGGCTTTCGTTCCATTTTATTACAATAGAATTAAATTACAAAAATTAGTCATAAACTATTCTAAAAGAATAATAATTATAAGATACAAAACATTTCCATTACAATACTTATTTTCTGAACCACGAAAAAAGAATAATAAAATAAAAAAATCAGTAAGCATAATTAACTAATAAATGAATTTTGTAATATTTGTATTTAAATAAAAAAGTAAGTGAAAATATATTTATATATATTAGTAAAATATAAAATTAAAATTTGGAAAATGTATAGTTGCGTTATTTAATATTTATTCATTTTGTAGTGTTCTTCCAAACACAACGAGAAAAGTCTCCCAAGTTCCTGAATTAGTCTGAATGTATGTTTCAATGAAAACATAAAACGGTAAAACATTTAAATAAATTGTTCTATTTTATAAGTTTTTTTCGCACATTTAATTTGAATCTGGTGAGTTGGAACGAGAGCGTGATGGAGAACGAGAAGCTGAACGTGATCGAGAACCAGAACGAGATCCGGATTGCGATCGTGACCTTGAGCGGGAGCGTGAACGGGACTTTGATCGAGATTTGGAACGCGAGCGCGAACGAGATCTTGAGCGAGAACGAGACTGCGAACGCGATCCAGAACGAGATCGCGATCGAGATACTTTAGTCTCTTCTGTTTTCGCTTGAGTGTCTTCCACTTGATTGTCTTCCTTTTCAGGTTCTTGACTCTTTTCTTTGGGCTCCAAATCCTGTTCCTGCTTGGGCGATTTCTTGATATCTTCTTTATTTGACATTTCAGAGTCACGGGAATCTTCTTCGCTCTTGCGGTCCTCTTCATTTTTGCGTTCTTCTTTTTCGTAATCTTTGTCCGATGATTCTGTTGCCGTAGCAGCTGCAGTAATTTCCTCTTTAGGTGATTGATTTTCACGTTCACGTTTTTCTCCTCTCTCCTTTTCACGAGGTGCTCCCGTGCCATTGTTCTTTTTGTTGGCCTTTTTGAGACCCGCAACTTCCTTCAGAAGATTTGCAATTTTACGGTTTAAATTCTCCACTTTCATTTCATTTAAACGCTCAATGTCTTTCAGTTTGTTGCGCATTTCGATTTCTTTTTCAAAGTTTTTGCCCTTCAACTCTGTCAACTGCAAAAACAAAAAAATATTCATAAATTCGGTTTTATTGAGAAAAATTCTCTATGCTCATACCAATTTGTCCTTTTCCAGCAGTTCCTTGTCCTTTTGATTCAGACGCCTCTCTAAACTGGCTATACGTTCTTTTAATGTAGTTAATGCCACAACGTGATCAGCAGAGTTAGGATCAATTGTGATTACAGCAGCTGGGGCTGCGATTGAACCCAAACCATTTCCACTGCTAGAGGATACGTTACGGGAAATTTTCTCGGGCAAATCAAGGCCTGCTGCACTGGCCGCAGAAACGGTTGCCGAACCTGTTCCGCTATTGCTTTTAGCAACTTCACTGCCACTGCGGGCCGGCTTTTTGGCTGAAGCCGATGAGCTGTCGCGATGCGATTTTTCATGAGGACGTTTCTTTGATGAGATACGTCCTTCTTGCTGAGCTTTTAACCACGCCCTTTTATAGGCACAGGTGCATAACCAACATAACAGTTTTCCATTGATCTGCAAAAAAAAAAATAAATAAATAAAAGATTATTACGGTTATAATAATTACAAACAAATCAAACTATGAACGCAAACATTTTTTAGGACAAGGTACCAAAAATGCATTCTTTGACTAAAAATGTTACAAATTTTCTAAACTACTTAATATACATTTCTACGAACAGAACAACAATAATAATTCGTATCGAACCTTTTTATTTTCGTCTCTCCTATCGAAAGCTGATCTCAGCTTACATTCATCGCATTGTACGGGGGGTCCATATCTCGCTTCATAACTTGCACACCTATGTTTATTTTGAGATTTATTTGAGATCAAAATCAGGACAATTAAAATCCCAATGCATGACCACCAATCAAGTACAGCGCCAACACATTATTTGCAAAGGCAAATTTATATGTTTCGTTTTTTTTTGTGTGTGACGAAAAAAGAGAAGAAGAAAAATGTTTGCGTTCTTAAAATGTTGAAATTTTATAATATATATTTTATATCTAAATGTTTATCACTGGCCCATGTTTGTCGTCGCTGATCATGATACAATAAAAGGGGTAATATTAAACAAAAACATTGGGTTCAACTCCCCTGTTATGTCATTTTTTTAATTTAATTAAAAAAATATCTCTTCTACTACATGTTGTAGCATGATCAAGCATTATATTAATATTAATCTTGTCATTCCCTATGTCATATTTAAAGAAATAATCTATTATTGTAAATGATTTCTAAATAGATCTATACAAACATGTTGGAAGAAAATATTAGGTAAATTATTCGGCATTCATTAGATATACAGGTATACACATTCATACATGTTGACACAGTGAAAAACAGTTAGATACAATTTCAGAATTATTATTCGTTCACTCACCTCATGCATTTAGAACCTCCGAAAGCCGCGACAATTTTACAACATTCACAGGCACTCGGCTTACCATATTTATTTAGGTTGTGCTCGCATTTTTTACAAATATTTTGAGCCTTTCTGTTGGAAAGAGAATAAGCAGACTTAAAAGAGGAACATTTATACAATCAGAACAAACTTACGAGCTTGGCTGGAATTCCGAACGACAATAAGTACATTTAACCACTTGAGTTGTGGACGAACTGGATGAAGAACTTCCTCGACATGTCTGAAAAGATAACGAAAAATTTATTTAATAAGTACTAAATAGGTATTTTTTTCAGTGTAGTGATGTATCAGTCGTAGACGCCAAATGCTCTTTTTGCCGCTTCTCAGCCAGTGAAAACAACTACACTTGCCACTTATAAAGTAACATTTTCTGTCATAGATGTTCACAATTCTAATGGAATCGGATATTATTCCACGTCCACTTTCACTTTTTCTGTCCATGGCTAGGTGTTGTTAAAGGTACTACACTAATAATAACCTTGCAAAGCTGGGTTCCTGCTGACAATTCTTCGAAAGGGTGTCTAGAGAAGCATTTCGAACAAGCAAACAACACTTTTCCACTCATTTTATTTTGTTATTCCGATCGGGGGCTGGGAATTTTATTTTAGTTTGTGTAGAGAAATACAATTAGATTTCTGAGCAATTCCCTTGTCAAGTATTTTTGAGTATTGTATTTTTGTTGTTTTAACTTGAAAGCGACGCAATAGAAATCGGAAAGCGTTGGATTAATTTTTGCAATTCGTATTGATGACAGAGATCGAAGTCAATTGGCACTAACGCCGGGGATGGACCGACGACATGTCGGCGGCGTCAGTGAACTCCAATAAAATAATTTTCTAAAAATTTCTGTACAATATAGGCATTTAACGTTAATTATTGTTAAAATTCTATAGGAGACGATATTTAGATATTTATTAATTTGTATAGATTTTATTGTACTCGTGTTTTATAATAATTCCGACAAACATCAACGGCGATTTGTTAGGCCGGCGGCTTCCAAAAATGGCGCGAAGTGATGGAAAATGGTTGTCGCACAAAAGGGAATCGGAGAGAATAAATTAAGGATAAGTAGTGTAGCCACGTCTCAAACAATGGTTGACATCATTGTCTATAACCATGTTTACATGATCTTTTCTGAGATGTTTGTGTACCTACATGCATGCATGGTATAATTATTACAAGGTAGGGCACAGCTACCAACTGATTACAATTTTTTGTTCCATCAAATCAAAATACATATTTTGTGTATGTGTGTGTATAGTTTTGAATACAATGTCAAATAAATTCAAAATAAATTGAAATATCATTTTGTATTATTGTACCATGTTATATGGAAAAATTTGACAGAAATTCGAGACAAAAACAAAGGTTTTTGTTTTGATACATCACCTTATTATTGCATCATGGTTATATACATATCTAGTTACTTAGTCCGCTTTTCCACAGGCAGATTTTTATTTGGCAAATTTTTTGTTTTCTCTTCTGAAATTTTCGATTGCTTTTCCATTAGCAAATTTTTCTTTACCAAAGAAAGAAAGTGTTTGCATTTTAAAGATTTTTTTTTTTTAATATTTTATTTATTTTTATGTATTTTATTATATAAATTGCAAAAATTAAACATTGAATTTCTATTGCACAAATTAAAGCAACAGGTTTGTAAACAAAAGATTGAAAAGGAAATGTCAACAAAATTGTTTTCAACGAACAGAGCAAAGCAGAATTTGCGTGTACCGCAAATTCTGAACAGGCAAAGTTTTTTTTCTTCCTCGCACCCCTCTCGCCTACAAACTCAGTATTTGCCTGTGGAGAAGCAGACTTAGTGATCAAATACTGGAACACAAAATAGACTGTTGGATTTATTTGTCGATTGAAAAAGTTGTCTAAGTATATCATTCCAATTCAGTAGTTACTGGTAATGCAAAGGGTAATATATATATATATATATATAAATTTTCATAGGCAAAACAAAACAGAGGAATTGTTTTCCTCAAAAATATATTCGTGATATACTATGTGGAATGTACCATACCATGTGATGTGGAACCTGAATTTCTATATTCGAACGAAATACATATAAATCTGAGGTAAGTTTTGATTTTCTAACATAACACAGACAGATGTAATTGTTCTCAAGCTTAATTCAAGGTTTTCTAAAGATTTCGCCCTTTCAGATTGAGAGAACATACAAAGGGTTAGGAGCGGATCCTTCAAACTAAATTTTACATGTGTTCTGTAGATATTTAGTAACGATACAGGAAGAGGTATCGCTCCATAGATTTGATTTGTAGGAAAACATGTATATCATATCCTCAACTCGATTTTGAAAAGAAACCCTGACATTCCAATTCTTTTTCTAGTTTTTTGTAAAATGTTGAAAATATATCACGACGGCTTGTTGCATTTGTTTTCATTTATTCTGACATTATTGTCCATAAGGTAGAGGTGTATTTTCTCCTTTCTGACAAAAGCTACCATGCCTACATGATAAAATTATACAAGGTAACCGAATAATCAGCTGATTTGATTCTATCGTAATACTCGTGTCAAGTTCGATAATCACTCACTGTGTTAATGCAATCCGTTACAATGTAAACGCACTATTATTGTGTTTAGAATGTATTTCCCAAAAAATCAAACCATTGCAAAATATTTCAATTGTAATATTTTTTCGTTTCATTTTCAATTTGCAAACAAATACATTTGGCGCAAATTAAAAATGTGTATGTATACTAATAAATATCAGTTGATTTACATTTAGATCATGTGTAAACAGTTAGTCATGGCCTCTTAAATAAGGTCTACCGGATTGCGAATTCATGCCTTAAAGGTCGTTTACATTGAACCGGATTTGGTTAACCCAGTGGGTTTAAATTTTCAATTCCTTTGAATATATGCCAAATAAATCCTCATAAAGTAGGTTAACCCGTTAAAAAGTTCTAATGTAAATGCCGTATTAGTCTTCTCTTGTTTTCAACATTTTAATTGCGAAATACCAACCAGAACAGGATAAAAACCAAAATTATCTTTCAAGAAAACGAAATGATAGCAATGTGCACATATATTTCGGTTCGAATAAAAATATTTTGTATTTATTCTTCAAATAATAAATTTGACAGTCAATGAAGACTTGGAATTCTCCTCCCTGCTAACCTTATGAATAAACCTTGCAGTTAGTTTTCTGGATTTCGTAAATCGTAGATGTTAATTTACTTTCACACTGATCGAACACACATATTTTACGTGTGTGAGCCTTGTAAACGAAAAAAACTACATATGTATGTAATTCTACCTAGTTCATTATGTACTGTATCATATTGGACATTGTACTGTATTTCTTTTATTAATAATATAAAATACGTTTTTTATTAATGGAGTTTTTACACGATATGTATTTTACATATGTGCTGTCACTTTTTTACATATGGAAATCGAACTCGTCATGTGAAACATACGGAAATTTCAATGTGTCAAAACGATATGCAATTACATATGTATTTTTTCCGAATAGGACGCGCTCTATTTTCGTATGTGAAACATAAGGAAATCAGCTGTTTGAATGAAACACATTGTTGGAAGAAAATATTTCAATTGCAAGTCAAAGAAAAGCATGAAAAGGCAACAATTACAAATTATTATTTCTTTTGTAGGTGTTTAATAAAAAATGATATTGATTTAAGAAAAAATAAAAGAGTTTTTTTGTTTATAGGTTATGTCATATGTAAAATACATATGTCGATTTGAACACAAAAATAAATGTTTTGTGTACGCTGCTTATTTTGACACACATAAGGAATTACATATGGATGAAATAAGTGACAGCACATATGTAAAATACATATCGTGTAAAAACACCATAAATAGCTTTCATATGAATTGAAATCATTTTCGTTCTTCCAAATATCGAGTAGTCGGTACAAACAGTCAACGAACTAATCGATTGATCGAAATGTTAGTTTAATCAAATTTACTAATCGAAAATCGAATGTCAGATCACAAAAAACGACGCCGTTTGAAATTCAAACGTCTCAAAGCACAACAAAAACAAGAAAACAAAGCGAGGGAACGAAGAAAAAAAATTCAGTATTTAAATAAATAATTTTTATGCCATCAAATAAAAATTCAAAATGTCTACGGAACAGAAAAATATTAAAGTTGTGGTACGTGTTAGGCCATACAATCGCAGGGAAATGGAACAAAATCAGAGAAGCATCATAAAGGTTTTGGATCGTGAAACGCTGCTCTTCGATCCCGACGAAGAGGACGACGAATTCTTTTTCCAAGGTGCCAAAGTTAATCATCGCGACATAACAAAACGCGTCAATAAAAAACTTTCCATGGAATATGATCGCGTATACGATACGGACACCACAAACGTACAAATATTTCAAGAATGTACAGCTCCGCTGGTTGACTCTGTATTGAATGGGTATGTAGTGTGTGTGTTGCTATTGAAATAGGGGAGGATTTGTGGTTGTAGGCTCCTTGTTATTTGTACTGTTGTTTACTCTCCAGGTATAATTGTTCGGTTTTTGTATATGGTGCAACTGGAGCTGGCAAGACGTTCACCATGTTGGGTAGTTCAACGAGTCCAGGATTAACATTTCTAACGATGCGTGATCTTTTTGAGAAGATTGAAGCCCAAAGTGATGTCCGAAAGTTTGATGTGGGCGTAAGTTATTTAGAGGTGTACAATGAACAGGTAATGAATCTGCTGACGAAAACCGGGCCACTTAAATTACGCGAAGATTCGAATGGTGTTGTGGTAAGCGGTCTAGTTCTGAAGCCTATATTCAGTGCCGAGGAACTTCTCGAGTTGTTGGCATTGGGAAATTCAAATCGTACACAACATCCAACCGACGCGAACGCGGAAAGTTCGCGATCACATGCTGTGTTTCAAGTGCACATAAGAATGACGGATCGTAAGACGGGTACAAAACGTATGGTGAAGTTATCTATGATTGACTTGGCCGGCAGTGAACGTGCTGCCAGTACCAAAGGTATTGGTATTCGGTTTAAGGAGGGAGCCAGCATAAATAAAAGTCTTTTGGCACTTGGCAACTGTATAAATAAGTTGGCGGATGGTTTGAAACATATACCTTATCGAGATTCGAATTTAACTCGCATTCTGAAGGACTCGTTGGGTGGCAACTGTCAAACATTGATGGTTGCAAATGTTTCGATGAGTTCCTTGACCTATGAGGATACCTACAATACATTAAAGGTATGTCTGACTAGAGATCTAATGATCATTATGAGTAATAAATTCTTATTTTAATTTATTTTAGTATGCAAGTAGAGCCAAGAAGATTCGAACAACATTGCGTCAAAATGCATTGAAAACAAATATGCCGAAAGAATTCTATGTGAAAAAAGTCAACGAACTTATGGATGAGAACGATCGTCTTAAGAAAAGCATGGCTACACTTGAGACGAAAATTAGCAAGGCATCGACATATGATGATAGCGAACTGAAACCGTGGTACACTCGAATTGATCAAATATATATGACAATACTACAGATACAGGATCAATATATCACACTGAAGAGTCGTTTAAAGAATCTAACGCTAAGACGAAAACTTAAAACAGATATGGACGATTTTCGAAAGATGCTTAATGTTGATAGCAGACAGCAAGAGGTAAGAAAGAAAAATGAATATTCATCATAATTAATTTCCTACACATCGATTCGAAATGGTTTCCATCATTATTAATTTCCCACATATCGATTCGAAAGTTTTCCATCATATACAACTAATGTTAATGTGTAGTTTCATGTACACAAGAGCTGGTAAAATTTTCATCAGCATTGAAAAATTGTTGTTAATTAATCCAGAATTTATTGGCAATATTTTTTTATTTTTGTTCAAACATCTTCAGACTATTAACATTTCTTTTGACAACTCAGTTTGTATTAACGAATCTTTACATAGACTATGAATCTCCAAGCAATTCCTTTTGTTTAGCTTGCAAAATTTTCTCGGCTTCGGCAATATATTTATCTGCTATAGCGGTTATTTGTGTCTGTACCGAAAAGACATCATCTTTCGAAATTTCCGTTTGCTTTTTAACCTTTTTAATGCAGTTATTTTGAATATCCTTGATGGAGTCGCGATATTTGATGAACAAATTCTTGGCATTCTTTGAAAGGTTCTCACGATGTTCTTTGGTAACTTTGGGTATGGGTATAAAAAGTGTTGTACCATCCTGTTGGGGATTTAAATTCATGCCGCTCTTTTCCAAGGCCTTGAGAACATCGGGTATGGTCTGGGGAAAGGCAATCATATTCACGACAATGGTTTTAGGATTCTTACGTGAGATTTGTGCCAATTCCTGCAGTTCATGTTCAGTGCCATCAACTGTAACGCGTAGTGTATCAATGGCCCCTGTTGTTGAACGTAAAGATAAATGCTTTATAAAGTCATCCTTCATTTGCTGCACTGCCTTTTGCATTTGTGCATTTACAGCATCATAATTTATGATGTCGCGCAAAAGTGTTTCATTTATTTCCACCTTGGCGGCCTTCTTTCCTTTTTCCTTTTTCTTGTCTTTGTTTTTTGCATAACAACATTCTGTGGTAGCGATCGAAGCTTTTTGCAATGAAATGGGCCATACGCTTGACGAAGCCAACGTAGTACTTCTACCGGCAGCCTTATTTAACGCTGGTACTTGTGAGCGAATTATATTCTGAATAAGTAAAGCACTTTTTCTGGTAAACATTTTAAATTGTGATTTTAACTAAAATGAAATCCGATTTGTTGCTTAAAATTGCAATGGTAATTTTGACAGTTTCGGTTTGTTTTGCATTTTTTGACATTTGCTATGTTATGCCGGCAAATGAAGCGAGTTGCCACATTGTTGAAAACATTTTGCGAAATAGCGGGGAACATTGCCATTAATTGGGATAATTTAGACTTTTAAATTTGGAATTTAAATGATAATAAAAATATATATATATAAATTAATTTATGAAATTAACGGTAATGTTATGTATATCGATGTGCAGCTAAACCTAATATGCCATCACTTAAAACCAACATATTATGAACGAATTTATATCTGTTTATTTTTATAATCAGGATCGCAAAGATAATCTGATACAAAAGTTAAGCCCAAAAGCCATTATACTATGTCTTTCAGTGGACTTCGACTATTTAATCCATTCATTAAACATAATTTCATCTACTCATTTTTTTTTACAGAATTTTGATAATTTCTCTATGACTATTTGCAATCTAAGTATGGAAATTGATAAATTAGAACTAGAAATACCATGTTGGCGTGAAAAATTACAAAACTCCTATAAGGACCTAGAAAAGCTGAAACAGCAAATTAAATCATCAAAACTTGCAAATATCTTAATGATCTACGTAAAGGGAAAGAACATGGAGGTACAGAGCTCGAAACAAGCTCTAGTAAACAAACACATAACCAATATAGATACTGAGGTTGTGGTTAATGCCCATTGGCTGCACAGGGCATTTACTTTGGCTGGTGATGTTATAAAAAATGGAACATTAAATGCCGAACAAAGATATCACTATGATCAACTGCAACGCCATTTGCTGGGAACAACCTTGAGTACCGTGCCCAGTGAAATTAATGTTGGAGAACAGCTAATGGATGGAATTCAACCGGAAGAGGATGTTGATCACATGTGCTCGGAAGATAATAACCGAAGAACACGAAGTAGTAAACGTTTACGAATGGAAGAATACGATTTGGACGATTTAGATGGCATGAATAATAGCAACTCAGACCACGATGCTGATGATAATGATGATGACGGGTGTACGGGTGGTAACGAGGGTGGTGAAATCGTTGATATGCACACAACATTTAAAATGCCTGCCAAGAAACCGCGTACAAATCTAAATGAAACGCAAGTATTGTCTGTGGATGCAAATGTGAATGCAACATTTTACATGGGCCCTTCGGGGGCTTCCAACGGTGCGAAGAAGATCGTTAAAAATGGCAAGGCTTTGCCAGCCAACAAAGGAAATCTTGTTACAAATGTACTATCGGAACAAATTGTAAAAGGGCCATCAAATTCGGAACAATTAAAAAATGGTTAGTATTTTATTGACTAAAAGAAATTTAGCATTCTTAAACAAGTTATTATTAAACTGGATGAAAAATCTTCAACGCAAGTTTTGATAATGAGACAAATTTGTTTCTAAACATTTGCTGCTAAAAGATTTTATTTTCTTTGAAAATTTAAAGGCAGAAATCAGAGCTCAAGTTGGAAGTATCCAAATCGGAAACCAAATCCAAACCATAAACTACTATTAAACTATTTCTATAAATAGAAACAAATTATAATTATAATTTATTTTTCACAGTTCTGCTGAAATCAAAGAAATTTACCCACAACAATCTTTTAAAAACTGTTGCCGCTGGCGTGCAGAAGGAAAACATCAAAAAATTCAGTCCCAATCGAGTAAGAAAAAGTCCTCACACAGTTGTTAGCAAAGGTATGTTGTTATACACTTATAATTTTTGTACATGGCAAAATTAAAACAATTGTTTTTTATATATATTTTTGTTTTGTAGTACTCAATAGTGCGGCGACAAATTTGGTTAAACAACGACTAGCAACACGAACAAATAATGGCACTGCCACAGATGCCCCCATTGTAAGAATTAACAGAGCAGCTTCGTTTCGGGTTAAAAAATAATCATGGGACATAGCAGCACTTTTAGCAAATAGTATTAGAATATTGTCGGCTTTAAGACGTATCTGTTTTTTATAAATTAATTATATATATTTCTTTAATTTAAAAAAGGTGTTTTATGTTTCTTTCATTTTATATATTTTGAAACTTGGAAATTGTAAACTCCAACTGGTTTTATTAATAAATACTCCAATGTCAACAACCGACTAAAGATATTTGCAATTCCACAAAAAATGTAGAACGTAATTCGAAAGATTAAAATTATTAGGACAATATGAAGGTTTGGTGGCATTTTCACTATATACAGTGAAAATTTGTTCATAAATGTCATATTGATGGCGCCAAATAGAATCTTTTGCTAAATAGATAGATTTTAAGGCCGAGATTCCTTTCCAATGAGGTCATTGTTTCCATCATTGTATACTGCTGCAAATTCATAATTTCTTTCTTGGCTTGATTCAAATTCAAAACGTGTTCATTTCCTTTTCAACTGAATTTTTAAAATAGATCTCAGCATAGACAAAAAAAAACAAGATGATGAGTTGAATTTGTTTTGTCATTAATTCTCTCCCTCTTAACAACAATAGAAAATGATATACATAGTTACAAGTACTACAATAATGATAAACGAATTCATTTCGAACACCCAGCGCTTTATTTTATTGTCTCTTATCAACAGTCAAGTCTTTTTTTATTTATTTTTCTTATATACCACCATGAAGTTTCCACTTACTGATTTCTTGATGAGCGTAAGACATATGTAATACTTTTATTTTTCTAAAAATAATTTGCTGAGTAATGTTATGGATAAATGTATGACTGAATGCATATCAGAAATGAAAAAGAAATGTCTGAAAACATTTTAAATTAAATATATTTTCTACTTTGGAGTATCTTTCAAATGAATGCACCAATGCAACTAAATATATTTTCAGCGAAAGGGCTCAATATTATTTTAAAGGTAAGTTCTTATCAATGTATGCAATAGGGGACTATCCATGGTATAATTATTACTTGGTAGGTAGGCATAGGTGCTACCGACTGATTATAATCAGTAGAGATTTTCATGCTGTCCAATGTTTTATTATTGTATTTGCAATTTAAAATTTGTCCAAAATTGAAATGCGGCGCAATTGCATGCTCCAATGAATGTTGCAATAAACATTGTAAAATTCTTAAAATTTTAAAGAGCTTTCGGAAAGTATTAAAAAAACTCACAAAATGCATGAAAATTCTTGAATACGGTCCAAATAACTGAATATTTGAAGAATATTTCATGCTAATATTGACTGCGCCTCAAATGGTACAACATTTCGGCCGGTATCTCACAAATAAATGCATCAATGTTGTATTCAAATACGTCAATTGAAGGGGGTTTGTATGTATAGACGTTAATAGTATAAAGGTGTTAAATCGAACAATCTAAGCTCAATTTAGTCACAATAGACCGAACAGCCTGTTTAGTGGGTCGATAAAACTGATCATAAAATGGCATAAGCGTACAATGACCTTTCTTAACAGAGCACGTATTTTCAAAATTCAATTATTTGCAAGCGTTATTCGTGATAAATTCTTTGTCGATGCATTCGGCGACACTAGATTGCAATATCGCTCATTTTGCTGTAAAAAGTATGGCATAGATAAAAATATCGATTTTGCAGAAAATGCGTTTTAAGTTTTCAATCGGAACAGAGGATCTTGTACAGTTTTCCAATCAACGTATGTAAAAGATATTCATCCGATTTTTTACACAACATGAATTCTAATATAGCCATAGCCAAAAATTATGACAATTAACTCAAAAATGACAATTTTTGATTTATGACGGTCTTGCTGCTAATTAACGATATATGCGATTAGGTATACAAAAAAGTAATACAAAAAAGTGTTAGTATATCATAATATATGTATAATATTTGTTTATTATGTATATTTATGTTAACTATATATGTGTTTGTATATATGTATGTACGTACGTTATCTCTTCGGTTATAAAACTTAGGCTTAACAGTGTTTATTGTCAAATGTTATTTTGTACAAAACAAATGATTAACAGGCAATAAAGACAAAACTCAACAAAAAATTGTAAAAATAAAAACCACAACAAATTATACAATCTGTTCGGCCAACAACTGTACGACAGGCTTTTCAATGTCAACTTTACTTTGGATCAGTTTTAGTTCACGTTCAAACGAAGTCACTTTCCTCTTTCCCTCGACAACTTCAGCAGGCATTGCGTCTAAGGTGCGTTTGATTACAGCTTGCAATGTAGCAATTGTACGTTCCATGGCAGTGGCCAAGTGTGTTGCCGGTGTTTGATAGCTATGCGCTAAAAACAATGAAGCAAACAAATCACCAGTACCGGTGAATGAAATGTTTGTGCCTTGTTTGGGTATATTGAGTGCGTAACGGGCACCGTTACGTTTGCTTAGAAATGCACGAAGCTCTCCAGGTTTGCCAAGATCACTGCTTGAGATTGCTACTGTATCAATGCCACGCTCATGGAACCAATCGATTGCCTTCCAAATATCTTTTTCGGTTGAGATTTTCATTTCGGTCAAAAGTTCAACTTCATATTGATTGGGCGTAATGATGTCCGCCAAAGGAATAATTTCGTCGCGATATATTGGAAGTAACTCTTTTGGCACGTACATTTGCCCATCATCGCCCATGACTGGATCACAAACTGTAAGTAGTTAGGAAAAACCATATCACAATGATATTCTCCATCTAAGAGCAAATATCGTGTACTCAACCGTATATCACATTCGGATCATTGGCACGTAACTTAGTTACAATTTTAGCAACTTGTCTCAGGAAAGAAGCATTTCCTATATATCCGGTCAGTAGATGTGAATAACATTTAAGCAAACCGTTGCTTTCAAGTCCATCGAATAGATCAACTTAGGAAACAAAATATGTTGTGTTACTGTCTGAAATTCATGATCAATTTTGTTGTATAGCAATTTACCTAATTCCTTCTCCTGGAGAACTTGTCCCTTAACAGTTGAGTAGCCAGTGTGATTAGAAAACTGTACCGAATTTATGGCATCTACCTCGAATCCCAAGACCTTGAATAGATATAGAAACCAATATGATATTACATATAGCTACGTATTTGCAAACAAAATGTACTCACTTGCAGTGGAAACGTTGCACTTTTATTGCCCACATAGCCGTGCACCACATGACTCTGAATAGACAATACACGTCTTTTTAATTCCTCAGTGTTATTGGCCGACGACATCTCTCAACACAGTCCAGAATTCAATTAACTGATTAACTGCCGTATTTTGTTTTGTTTATCGCCAGTCTGTCAGCTTGCCTTATCTAGAAAACGAAGAGAGCGGCAAGCGATCTGGCGAGAACGAGAATAATATGCAATTATTATTTTATAGTAGCTATGTACATACATACATACGTATATCAGAAGCAGGTCTCTCAGGGTGCTATGTCTTACAAAGTAATGAATGAGAATGGAAATGTACGATGTAAATACAAATATAAACGTGGAGTATATATGTGGTATTATTTTTATTGCACCTACTGAAACTGCTGATTATGTAGGAATGTAATTCGCCATTTGCATTTTGTTCATTTAAAAATAAGCATCAAAATTATGTATTTGCAGCATATAAATATGTTGCCATTCACGCACATCACCATTTCCAACTGAAATGATTTCTTTATACAAAATTGATTGGCTCAAGGTAGATATACAAGGTAGCCGCATCGGCGAATTTCTACAACAAACATCGGTTGTTGTATTTTGATATGTCAAAAATATTTTGCAAAAACAAACAGATTGACAAGATTTTTTTACAAAAATTCTTGTAGAAAATGTTAATAAAAGTAGTGCCAAAAAAGCTTTTCGAAATTCGGAGATTTTCATTTATAATTTTGTTCTTTAATTTTTTGGTTCAACATTACAACAACATTTTTGACATTTATTTGTCCAACAGCTGGGCCGATGCGGCTACCTTATTAAATATACCTTGGATTGGCTATTGAATTGATATGTAGGGGAGACTGGGGCACCTTCGGCATCGGGGCACCTTCGGTAATCGCGTTTTCGATATGAAGCTCTCACCGTACATGACTAGTTTCGATACATAGGTATCGAATATCGAAATAAATAACTGACACAAAGTTTGAAATTTCTAGCTAATAAGCTTATTTAGATACATGGGTTTTTGTATTTTTATAGATGTTTCTGTAATATTTCAATTCCATTTCGTAAGTATTTCTTGTATAAAACTTTTAAAATTTTTAAGACAATTTTATTAAAAAATTGTTAACTACGATGTGTATTATTATAGAAATATTTAAAAATATAATTTTTTTACAAAATGGTCAAAAGTATGAAAAAAACTATAAAAAGTACATTCGGGGTACATTCGGCATTTTAAAGTGGGGCACATTCGGCCATATACAGATTGTGCTGTATTATTTCCTTAAAATGTTTTTGAGTTTGTCTTTAAAACTAATCCTTAAATATGGTTCGAAATTGCATATATAATATCAAACGTGCTTGTATCGACGAAAATGCGATAGAAAACCTCTATTTCTGATGGTATGTGCGACCTTGAGATGTAAACGTCCGCCGCTAGAAAATAAAGTCCTATAATTCAAACATTGTGTGGCGTATTAAAACCAAATAGAGCCTTTAGAGGATCAGCATTTCAACCAGACTGATAGCGATGACAATTACCCGGCTATGATTATGGTGCCGAATGTGCCCCATCAAATGCCGAAGCTACCCCGGGTTGGGGCACATTCGGCGAATTTGACTTTTTTTACAAAACTGTAAAATTTTTTAACTAATACTATTTTTTTATATCTTTTTGGTACTATTTTTTATAATTAAGTGTCAGAGGACAATAATCAGACATAAAGTTGTTATATATGTTGAATAAGTGCTGAGATATAGAGCTCTAAAAAAAATGTGCCGAAGGTGCCCCAGTCTCCCCTACTAGATGTAGGTACATATATGCCGGTATGACTGACTTGTGAAATATTCTGGGATTACTTCGAAGATCAAAGTTCGGCTATTCTATATACTACAATACTAATAGAAAAGTAACAACAATACTTACCACTCATAGACTATTTTCAGATTAATGAAAATCTGCAATCCACAATGACAATCTGCATAAGAAAGGAAATTCTTTTTTAGATTGATTCGTACGGCATTAATAGTCAACTTACATGGTATAGTGGTGTAATTGAAATGTATATATTGTTTTAAAAAGTATACTTGACTAGTCCAAATACATTCTATAAAAAATTGAAATTAGAAATTGTGTTATATGTCCAATGCTATTGACGCAGTAGATGCTTATTTACATAGAAATATATGTGATCAGGTAATAATCGTTGGTCTTTGCATATTTTTTATTTCTTTGATCTTTGGCAAATAAATTTTTATTATTTCAAACGTAAATGTAGAAATTGTTTTGTTTTGATTCGACACACAGAGCCAGGATTGGGAATTCAGTATTACAGCATTTTTTTATATGCCAAGGTCCATTTAGTAGGTCGAGAAGAAGCAATCGTTATCGATTATTTTGATTGATAATCCTCGATACTGTCAAATTTTTTGTTTACATTTAAGCGGTGTACACACTATCATTTCTGGCTGTCAACTTTTTTATCGATTACTGACTGTCCAACAACCATAAATATTTTTGTGGTTGCCTGATGAATGACAAACATGTGAGGCCACACTATCAAACAAGCAAAATTTGGGCAAAAGTGCCATTCAAAAATGATAGTGTGTACACCGCATTACATACAATTAAATCAAAATTGAAAGCATTTTGACAGTTCGTGGAAATCATCTGGTCGTTTCGAATGTCCTTATAATTGGGTCAAGTTTAGTACCTTTTGCCCTGTGAGAGGAAAAATAATAAGAGCTTAAGCTGTCGTTACACGATGTGATTGATACAGTAATGGCACGTTTAGACTACTAAATCCACTCCATTTCAAACGTCAAATATAATCAATTGGATTTGGAATTGACGTTTGAGATCAAGTGGATTTATCGTCTAAACGCGCTCCAAATGGCAAATATATTAGAACTATTTACTGCACACATGGTACAATTATTCAAATTAAAATTTTTTCATACTGTTGCTTGTTATGTCAAAGTCACATACAAAATGTGTGACTGTGTGTGTAATGATTTGAAAAACATAAAAAAATATATCCGAAAATCAATTTGTTTGAAGATGAATTTTACATCATTTTTAAGAAAAAGTATGATTTGTGCATGAATCAATACGTAAATCATATCCCTAACTCGATTTTTAAAAGATAAACTGTAATTCCATCCATTTTTTCAGGTTTTTAGTAAAATGTTAAAAATATGTAAAATGAACAGAACGATTTGTTGTATTTGTTTTCATTTATTCTGACATTATTATCCATGAGGTAGAGTTGTATTTTCTCCTTTCTGACAAAAGCTACCCTGCCTTGTATAATTGTATCAGGGTAGCTATGCCCTACCTTGGAATACTAATTGTAAAATGTATATGGTCTGTTCCCGTACTGCAAGAATCTACTAGATTTTCCTATTTTCTTCCATAACATAAAGGAAAATTCGTTATCGTAGTAAAAAGTAGTAGATTCTTGCAGTACGGGAACATACCAATAGTGTGTATGTGGCTTTGACTACATGGTATCTAATTTACAAACCTGGAGAGGTACGTTATTACACCCATGATGCCATAATAATAAGATGTATCGAAACAAAAACCATTGTTTTTTCTCGATAATCTATCAAATTTTTCCTTAAAATATTTCACATGATTGGCAACACTGCACATCGAATTCAAGTAGAAATTACCCACTTTGCGCCAAATGGACTACCTATTCATTGTGCCATGATTACACCTTTTGAACCCTGGATATGTTTGTTTTCCTATCTGTACGTAGACTTTTCAATCTATTGTACCCTAGAAAGTTTCCTTTTTCTATCTGTGGAACCCTGTTTTTTGGTAGAATTCACATCGTTTATTTATTAATTTATTACATAAATTAAAATTGCCAAGAAATTGAATGAACGATGCCTTGTTTGAGTCGACTGGTAAAATGTAATAAGTGTATACCTAATTATGGACAACAACTGCGTTTCTTAAGTGCCCAAGCCTCGCCGAGTGCAAACGATGCCGGGGTGGAAGATGATGGTATGGTAATATGGTTTATGCAGAAAACACCTAAACTCAAAATTATGTATTTTATATAGAATTCCGGGTGCTGAACTTGCGTGCTACACAACAGAAGCAGGTGGCGCGAAGAGAATTCAAGAAACCAGAAGTTATGCCACCACGTAGTCTAAAAATGGCAACAGACCAAGATTGGACTGCAGTATGGCCCGGCCCACGCTCGTTCCATCCTGCTGCCGTACCTCTACCAATTCGTCAAGGGTTTACCGTCAAGGGAGCAGCACCGCCTTCAAAATACGCTAATGCCGAGTTAATGAAAATTCCTAATTTCCTACATTTAACTCCGCCGGCAATTAAGCAACAATGTGAAGCTATAAAGAAGTTTTGTACACCATGGCCCAAGGGATTGGAGACGGAAGAGAAATGGAAACGTCATTTCCCGGTAGACGTTGTCAGTACAGACTATTGTCAAGCTTTGCCTACAATTCGCAATCCAGAATCACGTCGGGTTACAATAACGTTGAAATTATCGGATCTGAAATTCGACGATCATGCTAAAGACAAGTTTTTGCGCTTAGTCGGAGATCGGTATGACAGTGAAACCGATGTACTAACGATTGTAGCCGATAGATGCCCTTTACGGAAACAAAATTACGATTATGCTATGTATTTACTAACTGCTTGCTATCATGAATCGTTTATTACGGAGCCTTGGGAAGAGAGCAAGACCGAAGCCGACATGGAGTATTATAAATACGAACGAAATAAATCGAAAAATTCAGTGGAAACCATTTTAAATTGGGGAAAAGCTGATGGTGGCGAAAAGCGTGAAGCAAGTACGGGATATATTGAAAGTCTTGAAAATCTTGTGAATGTCGGAGAGAACGAATACAGTTTGAACAAATATAAGGAAGAAGTAATAAAAATGATTGGCCTTAGGCAGTAAAACAGTGATATTATATATCAATTAAACTTCGTTAAAAAGTACATTTGTTGAAAATTTAATAATAAAAAATAAAAACAAAAAATACATTTGGTCTGTTCCCGTACTGCATGAATCTACTCTCTGCATTATTATGGCTATAATGTTTTAAGTCGGTTTAAAGTTGTGGAACTTCACACACGAATTAAAAACGATTTCATATAAAAGAAGTGGAAAATGTTTCAGAGCTGGGGTTTTTACTAAACCTACAGGGGTTTTTTCTTTTTATTTGTTATAGCTAATCAGCTGATTTGATTCCTCGTGTCAATTTCGATATAATAAATTTTATTTTTAAAAAGAACCCAACAGGGAAATTTAGAAGTCAATAAATTTGTTACCATACTTTATTTAATGAACTCTCATATTCAATTTACTGCGCTAAACCTAAAAAGTTCCTATCAAAATTTTCGTTACATAGCCGGCCTTCGATCGGGGAAATTCTTAATTATAGAAACGTAATAAAATAGAAAAGTAATAAATGGTAACAAATAGTATACAAATTGTTTTAGCGTGAAAGGATCCTGAATATTTTAATTAATATTGCAGTTGGAGTGCAAGATTGAGATATGTCGGAAGTTTTGAAAATTCGTCCTTATGTGTGCTAAATGGTACTAAAGTTGGAACAAATTATATTTAAGCGAACGGATAGAGATTGAAAACATACATTTGAAATGAAGATTACAGAATTAAGGTTGTATTGGAATTTCGTACTTATGGAAACACTAAATGGTACTAATATGGTACAATTCGTTTTGTGTGAGCGGAAAACTAAAATTTGGAATTAAAATTACGGGTGGAGTGTAGGATGAGACATGGTGAAAATGCGTTGTTATATGTACTAAATGGTTTTAAGTTTTGTGTAATTTGGAGTGAAGGATAGAAATGGAAAACTTATGTTTGAAAATAAAATTACTGTTAAAGTACAGAATTGAGACAGTGTTGGAAATTTGAACTCATAAGTACGAAAAGTACTAAATGGTACTAAATATGTGGAATTGAGGAAGTTTTAGAAACTCGTATTTTCGTCTACGTAAATTTGGTGAACGGATAGAGCTGGACTGAAGTAGTTTTGGAAATTCGTACTTATGGTTAGATTGATATAGGTTTAGAATATAAATACGAAAAGTAGAATGGTACCAAATCTGGTACAATTTGGCTTTAGGTAAACATACAGGTCTTAAATTTGGACTTACAATTACTATTAAAAGCAGATTTGGAATATGGGTACAAATAGTACAGAATGGTACCAAATCTTGTACAATTTGGTTTTTAATGAACATACAGAGCATGAATTTTTAGATTTGGACTTACGATTACAATTTAAAATCAGGATTGAGGTACTTTGGAAATATGTACTTATGAGTACAAAAAGTACTAAATTTGGTACAATTTGAACTTTGGTGGAATTAAGGTTATTGTTAGAGTGTAGGATTGATGTAGTTTTAGAAATGCTTATATATAAGTATAAAAGTTACTAAATGGTGCTAAATTTGGAATAATTTGTATTTGGTTGAATCCTGAGAATTGGAATTAAGATGACTCTTGAAGTGTAGTATTGAGCTATGGAGATAACTTTGGAAATTCGAATTTATATGTACGAATAGTAAATAGAATAAAAATGCACTAAATTTGGATTTGGGTAAAGGAGAGAGCTGGAAATCTAAAATTTGGTGGTTGTGGTATAGAGGTAGTCTTGAAAATGTGTACTTATGTGTTCGAAAAGTACTAAATGGAACTAAATGTGGAACCTGTACGTAAATATATAATTGGAATTCTAATCTATTGTGTAATGGAAATAAGGAAGAGATTTCGGAAAATAGTTCTTTTGTGTATGAAGAGTACTAAATGGTAATAAACATGATATTAGATGTAGGAATAGAGGTGGAATTCAGAACTATACTACAACAAATTATACAGTATTCACCATGGTACAATTATAAAAGGTAACAGCAAATCCCAGCTGATTTGATTCCAACGTAATACTAGTGTCAATATGAATTTGACAAATTATGTTTTTAAAAATCACCCAACAGGAAAATTGGGAACGCATACAATTTTAAATTGTTCTGTATTAAATGTGCTCCTGTTTTCAATTTACTCAATCTGCCTGCTGGGAAAGTTTGAGGAAGCAAATCTTTCTTCAAGGAATAACTCGCTATTCCCAGCATTTTCATATGTGTTACACATATATATGGCAATGGCTCAATTATAGGAAAGATGTGGAATAGATAGAAATATAAATTTGATAGATTTTCATTCATGTTTTTCAATTTTTATTTTGAGGATTCGAAAATATTTCATTTTCAAAATAAAAATAATTTGATGATAATTTGTTTGTTTTTTGACATTTTTGTCAAATGAGTTGACACTAGTAGAACTTACTACAACAAATTTCCATGTGGTTGTTGTATCGTTTTTTGTACAACAACACTTGCTGTTACCTTCTATTATTATACCATGAGTATTCACGACTTCCATATGAAATATTAGGTTTGTCTGGTTACTTTTCCAGTAACATTTATTCAGTAAGTTCTAGTTCAGAGAGTAAGACGTTTTTACTCTCTTTTGCGATAATACTGAGAAAAGTAAACAGACAACATTTAGTAGGATTTAGCAAATAAATAGCTGATTCAAGAAAACATTTAATTTGCGCCAAAATAAAAAAAAAACAAAGGACAAACACAATTATTTGTATTGCATTTAATATTAAAAATAAAATGAAAAATAAAAGAAAATTTGATTTGGTATGTTCCCCGGGAACATTTAAGCTTCCTGCATCAATACATTGCCCTCTATCTGAACTTGCCTAAAAATATATAAGGAATTATTTTCTAATTTAATAAAACTTTGCATTACTTTCGAATTTTCTTCCATTTTCTGTAATTTTTATGCAACTTCAGTTCAAATTGAAGTTTGCAAAATAAAAAAAAAAATGTTTGGAATATTTTTTGTGTTCGGTCATAAAACAGCTGATCCAAAAAATGCTGAGTTTGGAAAATCTTACTGGATAAAATTCTTTCAGTAAACTCCAGTAAGTTTATTATTGTTGAACTGTCAAACTTGCTCTCTCACTTGACTCTCTTTTACTAGATTTTTGGGTAAACAGACAACATTTAGCAATGACTCAATTACAGAAAATATGTGGAAGCGATATAATTCTAAATTTAATAAATTTTCATTCAAGTTCTTCAATTTTTTCAGAAAAGTTCAGATTTAATAGAATTTATTGACATATCGTATGTTCCAGGATATATTAATACGGTCAAGCAGTAGCGAAAGTCAACTGTTTTTTATGTCTAATGTCAAAAATTTGGCTCTTTAGAGCAGCTGATGTCTTGATTTACTGTCAAAGTGCGTAATTTCTACTTGGATTCGATGTGCAGTGTTGCCAACCATTTGAAATATTACATAGAAAAATTTGCCAGATAGTCGAGACAAAAAACAGCGGTTTTTGTTTTGATACATCACCTTATTATTGCATCATGGTCTAATGCATGATGCAATAATAAGGTGATGTATACCAACAAAAACCTTTGTTTTTGTCTGGATTATCTGTCAAATTTTTCCATATAATATTTCAAATGGTTGGTAACACTGCACATCGAATTCAAGTAGAAATTATCCAATTTGACAGTTAATCAAGACATCAGCTGCGCTAAATGGACTACCTATTCATTGTGCCATGGTCTAATGTAAAAAATTTTGCCTTTGTTTGGGTTTTCATAAGGGAAGTCAATTCACAATAATGGATTTTGACTGCAAACTTGGGAAGAAGCTGATATCCAGCTGATTAAACAATGTTACCCTACCATTTGGAAAAAAACCTACCTAGATGCTTGTTATGTCAGAATTAATAAACACTAATGCCAAAGTCGTTGTGTTCATTTGAAAAATTTTTTCATAGTACTAAAAACGTGAAAAATTAATGGAACGTCCTGTTTTCCTCAAAAAATCGAATAGAAAATACATTTTTGTTACTGACCATAACAAGCCACAAGAAGGGAAAATTATATTTTGTGTGGTGACTTGAATGCATAGTACAATAATACAAGGTATGGCAGCTTGAGGTGAATAACAAGGAAGCAACTATGCACGTGTGGCTTCTTCTGTCAAAAATAAAATAAATATACGCAACAAGTGTTTGTGTTTATTTGACATTTTTTTTCAAAACAAATCTAAAAACGTGAAAAATTAATGAAAGATTATGATTTCTTCCCAAGATCCAGTAGGGAATACCATCAAATGTTTGTTTCATCTATGACAAAGTAATTACTTCCAGACGAACATGTTAAGAATGTAATTTTCATTTCTATTAAATTTTAACTTGCTCTCTCACTTGACTCTCTTTTACTGGATTTTTGTGTAAACAGACAACATTTAGTAACATTTGGTAACAATTGTTACCAAATATCGAGTTAACAGACAGAGCTATTATTGTACCATGGTAATAATTATACCATGTTTGTATGTTTGACTAAAGATATATAAATTTTTATCATTTTATCTTTTAGATGAATAAAATGAGACTAATTTTAGTCACTATTTTAATCGTTTTTGGGAAAAAATCGTAGCCCTAATGTATACGTAAACAATAACAGCTGACATATCAACTTTATATCATTTTAATACTAGGGTACATTTACACAGCATGTTTTACGAAAATCATAATTTATTTGACATATATAAAAATATAAATACAACTTAAATGACGATTAAATTATGATTTATCATGAAATACATTCAGTGTAAATTTGGAAATGGAGTCCATTTAGAAGGCGTAGTCTAAACGCCCTACGACCACTAACATTTTCGAAGCACGACGCACACGCTTCGAAGATGGCTCAACGGATCTATTCTGCTTACCCCTTTAGTGAAGACGGAGATTAACAATCGCCCCTTGTCAAATGGTCCAATTCTTGCAACACGTTATGTTCAAAAACTAATTCCGACATAAGCCGTCCGTTAT